GACGTGTTGGCACCCCGGCATCTCTGTCCCCTTGGCCAAGAGCTTTGAAAACTCCAGCGACAAAATCACACAAACAGTATGACACAGTTAACAAGAAAAAATGCTTACTTATTCCGTGACGATAGAAAGAGTGATGTGGCACAATTGTCTGTTAAAATTAAAAACTGTATTTTTAATATTCAAATTGTACTACTTTTTTTAACCACAGGAGGTCCCTAAATCCTCAGTCACGTTTTGATACCTACAGGCCAGTTTATGTGCACGTCAAACTGTTGCAACACTTTGCTATTATTTTCATGACTGTATTAACCAAGTTTTTAATATAAGAGAGGTTAACTTCTGTTCTTTAGAACTAGCTTTTTAAAAAATGTACTTTTAATCCCATCTGGATACAGAAAATACCAGCGTCTAAGGAGATAAGAGGGTGGAGTGGAAAGGCAAGGAACAGGAGTTACATGAAGTGGCCCTGAAATAGAATTCCTTTGAAGTTAAGTGAAAACACAGGCTACTTTGTGAGTTGACAACAAACAAGACCATTCCTTTCTTTCTGCCTTAGGTCTAAATTCCCTGTCTTGTCCAGTCAATGTTAACCCATCAGTATAAGAATATAATTAAACACGATTATTTTTTTCAATAGGGGTAAAAAAAACAGAAGGTACTCTAGATAGGATGACTTTGACGGGGCATGAATAATATAGTTTGTTGTCACAGGTGATATTACAAGTGATATTATTACTTTAATTTTAAGTAAACATAAATATTCACGTTTCTGCCCCCACACTAATTTAAGTGGTCATTCATTGAGTGACTGCTCCATGCCAAGCAAAAAGACAGGCTCCCTTCCTTTAGGAGTTTACAGTCACTTCAGGGAGATAATTTAATGGACAATTATAATCCAGTGTACTATGTTCACCCTAACTCCTTTGATTTAGTAGCTTGATTTATTTCAAGAAAAATATGAGTCTGTATTATAGACAACAGTACTATATTATAAACTTCAAAATTGCTAAGTGACTTGATCTTAATTGTTCCCACCACAAAAAAGGAAAAGAAATCATAGAGGTATTAGCGAACACTAGGGTAGTAATCAATTGCATTATGTAGGGGCGCCTGGGTGGCTCAGTTGGTTAAGCGACTGCCTTCGGCTCAGGTCATGATCCTGGGGTCCTGGGATCGAGTCCCGCATTGGGCTCCTTGCTCAGCGGGGAATCTGCTTCTCCCTCGGACCCTCCCCCCTCTCATTCTCTCTCTCAAATAAATAAATAAAATCTTTAAAAAAAATTGTAATATGTAAATATAGCAAATCAACCCATTGTACATCTTAAGCTTACACAATGCTGTATCAGTTATATCTCAATAAAAATAAATTTTAAAAAAGATGAATGTGTACTTGTGTAATTAAATCTGTTCCTGTAATGATTTGAGGTTACAAGAGAATGAAAATATATTCCCCAGTAGTCAGTGATCATTTATAATAAGAGCAACCCATAATCTATCATTGGGTATCTGTTTGTACAGGACTTGGAGATTTAATTCATTTTAATGTGGCTTATGAACAAAATGAGAACACCCATATTATTGCCTCAGGGAATAATGTTCTCTTACTAAAGTATTATGTGTGCACGCTTTTGGATTGTTTATTAAAGAAAACTGATAAAACCAATTTAGGCAAGAATTTCAGATACAGTATTTAAATGTATGTGCTTTATTTTTTTATTCATTTGGAAATGGAATAGTTTTGTAGCAGTAATTTATATTTTGATGACTAGATGGCACTAAACACATATGGCTATGGAAAACAGCCTTTTCTCAGCAGCTGGTTCTGAAAACAGACACTTAAGTATGTAAATGTTTTCAGCACTATATAAACAAATCTTTTGTTATCTATCCCATAATATTTCTGTTGCTACAAAAGCTTTGTTTTTCTGGGTGAAAGAATTTCACATATGACTCCCTTAGGTGTAATAAATTCTGAGAGACTCAGCCTCTGCCATTTATTTGGGTAGTCATTCCTCAAACTATTCTATTTAGCTATTTGATTTTATTATTTTCTCTTTTTAAACTAGCCCTTTCTTACTAGTACCTTCTTTGAAAAACAGATTTTTTTTAAGGGTCACTACTTAGTTGTACGATCTTAAGAGATCCTAGGGATTTACACAGCGTTCCTGTAGGGCAGAATACAAGAAGAGCATGGACTTTGTTTTTGTTCTCGGTCTCCTGATGTCTGAATATTATTCTTACATTGTAACAATGGTTTTTTGTTTTTGTTTTTTGTTTTTTGGGTCTGGTTGTGATTAGTACTTGCAGTATATCAGGTTCCGAATAGATACCAAATAGAGATGCTGTAGGCTGCAAATAATAGATATCCTTTAAGCTGCTGTTAAATTGAGTTATGTGACAGAAGTCCACAGTTGGCAGGGGGGGTGTTCAGCAGTGGTTAGTGAATTCAGTCTCTTAATTAGAGATCTAATGAGGTCATCGGGGACCCAGGTTCCTTTCAGATTTCCACTTGGCCATCCTGGTTCTGTCAGACTTGGGCTTTGTGCTGGGGATGGCTGCTGCAGTTCTAGGCAGGATTGTGTGAGCCAAGTCCAGGGTGGAAGAGGGGATGAATACTCTGCTATGTAGATTTCTTCTCCACCTCGGTACAGGACTCCAGAGACCCCCAGCAGAGTTCTCAGTCCCGTTGGCCAGGCCTGGGTCTCTGGGACTTGTAAACAATCCAGTGCAGGGGGAAGGAATTCCCAGGACAGGTTAGACTAACAGAGACCCATGCCCTCCCTGAGTACCCAGCCCCTCAGAGGAGGATGAAACCTCAAAGAAAATCAGTATTTCCAGATACTGATCAGAGAAGAAGGGGGGAGGATGGATTGGGGCAAGCAGACAACAGTGTTTGTTACCATTTCTGGTTTTGTTGCATTTGTATTTTTGCTTAGAGACTCTTCTTTCTCCCGGTATTCTTGAAATGTTACTTTCATCGCTGTTATTTTAAGTGCATGAGACTGTGCAGAGTTACAGGAACAGCCCTTAGCTGTGATAGAGCTTCGTGTCCATTACAAAGCTCTCTCTCCTGTGGTTTTTGTTTATGCTTGTGTCCTTTCCTCAGCAGTTTAAAGAAAGCAGGAACTTGGGTTCTCTCTATCTGCTTATTAGTGCTAGCCCCCAGAGAATAGTATCTCGAAAGTACTTTATGAATCTAGTAGCATTTCAGGCAAATCTGCAGTTGTCTGCTAAGTACACACGACTTTGAAGGCGCCGTGTCCAGCAGTGCGGGTGCGTCTGACCAGAACTTCTGGAGGTCTTGGCAGCATCTGCCTCAGAGCTCAGACCGATCCCTGTCGGCTCTGAAGACTCAGAGGGGCAGAGCCAGCAGGCCCACCTCAGAGATGAGAAGCCCGTCAGCTTTTGCTGTCCGTGCAGTGCCTTCTGGCCTTTTCCATTTGACATCCCGGCACCTCTCAGAGGCTGTACTAGACTGGCCTTCTGGTCTGAGTTCCATCTGAAACTCTCCTGTGACTCTGAGGAACCCAGCTGCCCTCTCGGTTGCTTCACGCCAACGACACCTTTCTGGTGCATTGTCCGAATATTTATTTGTCATTTGTATTCAGCAAATAATTTGTTGAATGATTGAAAGAATATTTATTCATTGACATTTCAAATGCTGTAAGGTTTTCTCTGATTTAAAACTGATCATGTTGTGTTATGTTATCTGTTCTAACAGTTTATCAGTTCCTATCAAATAACCAACAGCCATTCTCAACTGGCATTCTGTCATCATGTTCTTAAGGAAAGAACAGAAAGTATTCTTTTTTTTTTTATTTTATTTTATTATGTTAGTCACCATACATTACATCATTAGTTTTTGATGTAGTGTTCCATGATTTATTGTTTGCGTATAACACCCAGTGCTCCATTCAGTATGTGCCCTCTTTAATACCCATCACCAGGCTAACTCATTCCCCCCACCTCCCCTCTAGAACCCTCAGTTTGTTTCTCAGAGTCCATAGTCTCTCATGGTTCGTCTCCCCCTCCGACTTACTCCCCTTCATTTTCCCCTTCCTACTATCTTCTTTTTCTTTTAACATATAACGTATTATTTGTTTCAGAGGTACAGGTCTGTGATTCAACAGTCTTACACAATTCACAGCGCTCACCATAGCACATACCCTCCCCGATGTCTGTCACCCAGCCACCCCATCCCTCCCACCCCCCACCACTCCAGCAACCCTCAGTTTGTTTCCTGAGATTAGAATTTCCTCTATCAGTGAGATCATATGATACTTGTCTTTCTCTGCTTGACTTATTTCGCTCAGCATAATACCCTCTAGTTCCATCCACGTCGTTGCAGATGGCAAGATTTCATTACTTTTGATGGCTGCATAATATTCAATTGTGTGTGTGTGTGTGTGTGTATACACACACCACATCTTCTTTACCCATTCATCTGTTGATGGACATCTTGTCTCTTTCCATAGTTTGGCTATTGTGGACATTTCTGCTATAAACTTTGGGGTTCACATACCCCTTCGGATCCCTACATTTGTATCTTTGGGGTAAATACCCAGTAGAGCAATTGCTGGGTCGTAAGGTAGCTCTATTTTCAACTTTTTGAGGAACCTCCATACTGTTTTCCAGAGTGGCTGCACCAGCTTGCATTCCCACCAACAGTTTAGGAGGGTTCCCCTTTCTCCGCATCCCCGCCAACATCTGTCGTTTTCTGACTTGTTAATTTTTAGCCATTCTTACCGGTGTGAGGTGGTATCTCACTGAGGTTTTGATTTGGATTTCCCTGATGCCGAGCGACGTTGCGCACTTTTTTACGTGTTGAACAGGAAGTATTCTTAAGAAGCAGTTAATAATGGCATCATTGCTATGTCTGAACCAAGTTTTTCTCCTTTTAATTTTATCTATAGCTTTGAGAGAGATGAACTGATTTGAGAATACACTGAGTCAAAAAAATTTTTTTAAAGAAAAATCTCCTTGACATTTTTATTTTTCAGAAAACTGTGGAATATATTTTCCAGAAATAAAAAGAGATCCAGGCAGATATTTACACACTTGTCCTGAATCTGTAAAAAAGTGGCTCCAACAGCTCAAGAATGCTGGGAAAATTCTCTTGTTAATTACAAGTTCTCACAGTGATTACTGTCGACTTCTCTGTGAATATATTCTTGGGTAAGTGATGAGTCCTTCCATTTTTGTGGTCTTAGAAAATACTGATGACAAATGAGGCTGGTGCTGCTTTACAAGTGCTCGCCCGTGACCATAGCCTCATATTAGACAATGCTGAGTGACCAGTGGTTGTTTCTCAACATCTGCCAATGGCAACACCCCCCAAGTACAGTTCAGCAAAGCAGTATTACTGGGGCCAGTATGCCCATAGCCCGCTAATGGTCTGGACTTTAGAGGTTCTGAGAGATTGATGGACAACATGTCCTTCAGTCGGTGCTCCGTGAATTCGGCTTCTCAGCTTTGGATGATTACCGAGGGCCACTGAGTTGTGGATTACACTCCCTGACACCTGCCTGGAGTACCACCCCTCTGGTCCTTTTGATGTGGAGCCATTACTCCGCCATTCAGCACAGCCAGGGATGAGACTGACATCCACGAAAATTGAGGCGGTATAAATGTACAGACTTCAGACAGACATGGGTTCAAGCCCGACCTTGCAACCTACTCTTGAGACCTGAGGTATGTTCTGTAACCGCTCTCATCCTCGCTCTCATCATCTTGAAAATGGGACAGTCATACCTCATAGGTGTTGAGTGGGGAGTTTAAATAGGGTAGCACAGGTAAAGTATTTGAGTAGTTGGTAAGTTTCAGTAAGTATCATTTATTTATGTCATTCTTGTGAGCAATACCAGGGAATATCCATGGTCAGAGCCAGATTGTAAAATGGGCTGTTGGATCCCCCCCAACGTTTCCTCAGATTTCAGCAAATACCGAATTGCTGAGTATGAAGCAAATTTCACCGTCAACACTGACCTCTGGCTGACTTCTTTAGCCTCCTGATGTCCATGTTACTCAGCACATGTGGGTTTAGATTGGGCTGTGGTATATTTACGACCTACCAGTGGGATTTTCTGCTTTCTGAATAATACGTAGGCCTGGGATCCTTGGAGTGAATTAAGGCAGGAGTCCTGGATGCCCTGCACGGTGCCTCTTTGACCGTGAGACTCTATTTGCTGTCCTGATAGTGGGACTATGCTTCAGAATAAGCCCTCTTACTTTCTTTTTCATTTGCGTAGATAACCCAAGTTTTTCTTCCTATCTTAATTTTCTCTTCAGTGTAGTTTAGATTTGCAAATATTATCTCCCCCAATGCTATGGTGAGTCCCATCTTTCCTTTGCCATCCCAAATGATCCCTAATATAGTATTAAATACAGACTAAAAAACGATTATTGTTATCTAAAAATTACCTCATTGTAAGATTACACTGATTTTCAAAATAATGTATCTTCTTCATATTTGAACACTCTAAAAGATGTCCCCTGACTTGATAAGATGGTAGCTTTCTGTAGGATCCATGTAACATACAAAATTATTAATAGCTTCATGCTAATAAATCCAGAGTTCAGGCCCCACATTTGAAGACCTAGTTCGTGAATATTTTTGTTGTTAGAAGCTATTGAATTCATTCACTATAACTATTACCATCACGAGAAGGCCAGCTTAGACCCAGTTAATGAGTTAATGTGCATTTTTCCCCCTTATGTTTATATTTCAAGGTGTTGTCAGAAGAGTAGTACTCAACCACCTTCTATTTCTACATATAAAATATAGAGAAAGCATATAAAAGTTAATCAAAAGATAAATGATTCTGTGGTCAGGTAAAGATTAAGTTCTATTTTAATGGACTTTTTCTAATTCCTTAAAATTATGACAAATATTGTTGCTTTTAGGAACGATTTTACAGATCTTTTTGACATTGTGATTACAAATGCATTGAAGCCTGGTTTCTTCTCCCATTTACCAAGTCAGAGACCTTTCTGGACACTTGGTAAGTTAACATTTGTTTCTTCCTTCTCTTATTTAAGATTTGTTCATTCAGCTACTTAATAAATACCTGTTGGCTGACAACCATGTGCAAAGTACTATGTTAAATACAACAAGGGGTATAAAAGTGATACCAAGTCTTCTTTCCCCTCACGGGAATACATAAACACATTGAGCAAGTCAGTAAATGCGTGGGGATGATTATAGGCCTCAGGCCGTGTTAGCCATCATGAAAAGAAATGACTTCCTGATGAGGTAAACCAGGAGGACACGTTAGATCTGTTGACCGGGGAGGGCCTGTCCAGACACTTACCAGGCAGGACGTGAGGGACCGGTAATGAGAAGAGCAGAGGAAGAGTGGCAGCGGGACAAACAAATGCACAGGCCCAGTGTGGGAGTACTTTCGGCGAGTTCCAATGACAGAGAAGAGGCCAGTGATTCAGGGGGAGAGAGGAGAGGAAGTTGGGGAGGCAGGCAGCCTCATACACTGTGGAAACGGGTTTGAATTTTATTCCACAAGCTCTGAGAAGCTGTTCAGTTGAGGTATACGAGTAACACGGAGAGCTCTTTGGCTGCGAGGTGGGGAATGGATCGAATGTGGGAAAGACAGGCACCGAGTGTCCCAAATGAGAGAGAGTGGTGGTTTGGTCTGAGGAGGTAGTACTAGAGATGGAGAGAAGTAGACATGTTTAAGATGCACTGTGGAGATGGAAAACAGGACTTGGTGATGCTTTCAGAAGCAGAAGATGAAAAGAGTAATCAAAAATGACTTGTTGATTTTTCTTTTTTCTGAATTGAGCAAATGGGTGAATGGTGGTACTATCTATAGCCTTGAGGAAAAACACAGAGGAAAAGTTTTTATGGGGTGGGGGTTATAGCTATTAAGAAATCATTTTCAACATGTTAATCTTGAAATGCCTATAAGTTATTCAACTGGGACTAACAATTAGGAAATTGTATAAATGAGCATGGAATCCAAGGGAACAGCTTTAGGCTCAGGATATAAATTTGGGAGAGTTATCAGCTCATAGGATATTTTCGAGCCATGGGCTTATATGAGATCAAATGCAGAGAGAATGATGGAGATAGAAACCAGATTGTAGATAGGTACTTCCACATAATAGTTTTTAAACAGTTCATCCTTCTATCTCTTGATACTTTTCAATTAAACAAATATAGTGCAAAAAATGCAATAACTTGTTAGCATAAGTTCATGGATTTGTGGTCTCCAGTATGTTAAAGAAAATTTGGCATATTTTTAATGTGCATTGTTTTCCATTACTGGTGTATGTGTGAAATTTTACTAAAACTTCCTGGCTGGCTCCGTCCATAAAGCGTGCAACTCTCGATCTCGGGGTTGTGAGTTCAACCCACATTGGGTGTAGAGATTACTTGAAAATAAAATCTTAAAAAAAAATCTCTGTGGAACAGTATAAGGACTACTATAGGTGCAGAACGGGTATAGATTTTCTTGGAATATGAAAATCCTGCAGATAAAATAAAAAAAATTGTTGAGTAGTTATGTATTTAAATATAAATTTGTGAAGGGGGAAATACTTAGTTTTTTTTTGTTTGTTTAACACAAAGAGTATTATTTGAATCCCCAATAACAGGTTATTTCTTAACATCAGGGATTTATAGGAGACATTAAACCAACATATAAAAAAATACCATCACTCTCTCCCTTTCTCCCAGATGAGGGTTTCTTAACTTTAGCACTTCTGAGATTTGGGGTCAGGTTCTTCTTTGTTAGTGGTAGTAGGGGTGCTGTTCTGTGTGTTGTAGGCTGCTTAGCAGCATCACTAGCCTCTAATCAGTAGATGCCAGTAGCATCCCACATCCCAAGTTGTGACATCCAAATATGTCTCCAGACGTTGCCAAATTTGCCCTGAGGAGCAAAACTGCCACAGTTGAAAACAACTGTCTCGACCATTCTCATTGATATATATGCATATTCTCGTATCTTCAGCTTAAAAAAACATAAAATATGCCCTGATTCTACATTGTCTTCCAGCTAAAACCTCAATTCTCTGAGTACCTTCACAGCTAAAATTCTAGAAAGAGTTGTCTACACTTACTGGCTCCACGGCCTCCAGTGAACTCTTCAAAACACTGCACACAGGCTGGCTACCTTATATATGCTTTATCATCATTACTTGACTATCCACGGAATTGCCCCCCCAGCGACAAACCTCCAGTCTCTTCCCCCTTTCACGTCCACTATGCTGTGCATCACGTCCTGTTTAAACCGCCTCATCTCTGCTGTCTGCTCAAGAATATATGGGATTTCATGCTTTTCCTGTAGTTACATAGAAAAGTTTGCCTCTGTTTTTTTCACATCCAGAAGTGATTAGAAGATCTCTAAAGTTCTTTCTAGCTCTAATTTTCGGGGCCTCCGATTTAAAATATTTCAGTGGAAGATGCAATGAATCCTGCAGTTTTTAGAGTTAACACAAAATACTTTATTCCCATTTTGAGAGCAATAAGATTGCCAGAACTGTTATTAATAAGAGGATCATACTAATATTAAAGAACCTCTCATTCATGATGTTCTGTTGTAGTGTTCATTTTGGTGCTGATTCTGATTCTTTGCCTACCTCTAATTGTTTCCACTGCTGGTTTCCCTTCACCTTTCTCTCACTCTACTAAAATATTTTACTGCAGTAAAATATTCACTGTGCTCAAAATCAATACAAAGTAGGTTATCAAAATATTTTCACACAAATGAAACTGTGTAGTTAAATAACAGCTGTCAATAAACAGCATTAACACAAATTTAGCTTCTAAATCAATATGTAATTTTCTAAGAATTGTTAACAATAGTAAAGGAAAAAATTGTTGATCATCATTGTTGAATTCACTGATTTCCACAAAAAGAAAAGTCTTTCATTATGTTTAAGACAATTTATTCCTTTGAAGAGTAACCAGAGAAAAGCCTGATCCCAGTCCTGTATACTGCAGTCCAGTATATTTTCCAAGCTTCACACCTATTTCTCTAACAGATTTTTTCCTCAATATTAGTGTCAAAGTATACTACATTTCATATTTTTAAAAGTATCCCCATTAGTTTTTAGTCAGTTTGGAACTAATATCCATTGTATCACGGTTCTTATTGCAGGTTAATATTTTCCAGCATTTCGTATTAACCCTCCTTTCTCGGTAGCTACCTACCGCTCTGTTAGTTTCAACTATCACCTATATACTAAGGACTCCCAATTCCTTATCTCTGGGCGTCACTTTTCCCTGACTTACAGAGGCGTATTTCTAAATTCGCCACACCCTGCAGCCCTGGCGTTGCAGGAAACCTGATGTGCTTTTAACAACTCATTAATTTCCCCTCCCATCTTGGCATGCTCCTCTTCCCATACTCCGTAATTCCATTATAACTTTTCCAAAGGATCTTGCCCAAGCTAGGAAAATCCATCATCTTCTCTTCCTATCTCCCCTTCACATCCTAACCTGTCCTTCAGTTTTCTCGGTCTGGTCACCTACCACATTCCTGCCACCGCCCTTATCATCCCTTGTGTGCACTGCTACACTCCCATCGCTGCTGGGTATGACAGTACTTAATGACTGATCTCCCAGCTTCCATCAGCCTTGTAACCTTCAAACCATCCTCCATATGGCAGTTAATGTTATTGTACCATGCAAGTCCTGTCAGTCGGCTCTTACAGCCTCCAGTGTCATGTAAATCAAATCACTGTTACAAATGGATTAAAGGCAGAGGTAAAAGTAAGGCCAAGGAACTTCGGGGATAGAAGGCGCCGGGTGAGCCAGTCCTCAAGGGCAGGGTGTCCTTGCCACTGTCGCACAGGCCGGACGTTAGCCGTTGTCATAGAGACAAGAAGGGGAGCGTTGTGCCCGAGTTGGCGGGAGCCAAGTGCCTCCCGCCAGGCTGACCCTTACCAACCCCGCTTAAGGATTGTTTGGGGGGCGAGGAGCCTTTTCTAGGCAAAATGTGCAGCATCCCTCCCCATCACTGGGGGATTCAGCTCCTTGCCAGTGCTAAGGCCTGGCTGGGGTCGGGGGAGAGGAGTCCATCTTGCAAGATTGTAAATTCGTTGAGGAGAGCGACCATATCTTTTTCACCGCTGTGCCCCCAGTGCTGCCAGGTACCCCTCCCCCCGCCCCCAATTTGGGAATCACGACCCAACTCTGTCATTGGTTTCTTGACCTGAACTATCACCAACACACTGACTCCCAAATCTTTCCCTAAGACCTCTTTTCTAGAGCCTCATACTGTATTTCCTCCTGCACACAGCTAGCACTACTCAGTGTTCTGAAATCAAACTTGATAGAAACAATACAACCTACCATGCTGGCCGGTTTATATTCTTTATCTTCATTACTTGACTATCCACTGAATTGCCCCCAGCGACAAACCTCCAGTCTCTTTCCCCTTTCACATCCAGTATGCTGTGCACCGCCTCCTGTTTAAACCGCCTCATGTCTGCTCTCTTCTCCCTTCCCTTCAGGCCGGCATCACTCTCTCCCCTAGGAGTCTCTTAACTCCTCCCCCTGCCCTCACTCTGTACCTCTCCTTCCCTACATGTTTTGCCCGCTGCCCTCAGATACTTGGCACAGATTTCCATTTGTCACTTCCTTTAAATATATTTTATGTAATTCACTTATTACTGTTAGGCATACTGTATAGTTAATCACATGCACACAGAATCTCCTTGGCTCCCCACTCCATGTAGCATCCTAAGGCAAATTCCAAAATCTGGTTGCTAAGTTACCTTTTCATCTTCACTCTGTCTGCTTCCTACAGAGATGCCCATTAGTCTATTCTTGCCAGAATGAACACCTTCTATTCCTCTATCAGGTTTTTGTTCCTGCTGTTCTCTCAGGAAATACATCAGTATTTCGCAGACTATAATGTACACTCACACCACCTAGGGATCTTGTTAGAATGGAGATTCTGATTCAGTAGGTCTGGGTATAACCTTAGATTCTGCATTCTAAACAAATTTTCTGGTGAGGCAGATGCTACTGGTCAGATCACCAATGACAGATTTTAATAACCCCAAGAGAGAATGTCTTAGTGCAGTTAATTGAAGATTGTTATTCTGAAAAGAAATAAACGTCCCAGCATATTAGGTATGGAAACGAGCTAGGTAGTCAAGAATATTGCTCACTGGGGAGCCTGCTTCTCCCTCTGCCTGCCACTCCCCCTGCTTGTTCTTTCTCACTCACTCTCTGACAAATAATAAAATCTTAAAAAAAAAAAAAAAAATATTTAAACTAAAGGAAAAGTCTTTGAATTAACTATTAGTTATTAAAGAATTAGGAATATCAAATGAATGGTAAACCCTCAAAACCAGAGTAGATAAGTAGATATTCTATTAAATTTGCTCCAACTCACTGGTATTTATTTCTCTTAATATGTAATTTCCTTTTTATGGCTCCCAACACAGACAAGCATTTTAGCAGACATTTTACTTTAAAAATGTCTTATTGGGGGCACCCGGCTGGCTCAGTGGGTAAAGCAAGTGACTCTTGATCTCGGGGCCATGAGTTCAAGCCCCACATTGGGCCTGGAGCTTACTTAAAAAGATAAACTTTAAAAAAAACATTTAAAAAATGTCTCATTGCCCATGCCCAAAAAAAAAAAAAAAAAGTGGAGAAAGTGTGTATAAAAATGCACAATTGGAGGAAAAAATTCTGACTCAAAAATGAAGGGATATATAAAAGTAAATATGCACTGTCCACTCAGGTCCACATAATATAGGAAGGAGTTCAAGGAATCAAAAGAATTCTAAATATATTTTTAATTATAAGTCATTGTTTAGTAAACCTCTAGCAAGTCAGAGATTGCTACCAGAATATAAGCATCCTAAAGACAGGGGCTTGGGCCATCTAGTTCACTGCTATATACCTCATACCTAAAGTGTTCTGTAAAATATAGTTGAAATAAAGAATTAAAAGAAAATGAGTTTTTTCCAGGTCAGTTGATTTGATCCCACGAGGCTGTGAAGATTCTCTCATGTTTGTAACATTTTCCTTATAACAACAAAAGAATGGCAACATCTCATATATCTACCAATAGATGACCATTAATTATTGAACATGCTCCTATTTTAAAAACTAAGCAGATTGCAATGTATTATCTAGAGAAGTTTAAAAAAATTACATTGCAGAAAAGTGTGCCAATATTTGCATTTAAATGGGAGGGTTCGTGGGTATAATATTAATTGCCAAGACTGCCGTTGTAGCAATAAACCACAGACGGAGGGCTTAAACACTAGAAATATATTTTCTCTTACTTCTGGAGGCTAGAAGTCTGAGATCAAGGTGTCAGCAGGATTGGTTTCTTCTGGGGCCTCTCTTCTTCGCTTGTAGATATGCACCTTCTCCCGATTGTCATCACAGGGTCTTTCTTCTGTGTCCTAATCACCTAATTATGTGTCTTAATCAGTTCTTATGTGGACACCAGTCATATTGGATTAGGCCCACCCTAATGGTCGCATTTTAACTTGAGCACCTCTTCAAAGGCCCTGTCTTCAAATACAGCCACAATCTGAATTATTCTGAGATACCAGGAGTTAGGGCTTCCACGTATGAATTTGAGGGGAACGCAGTTTAGCTGCTAACAGGTATATACATATGCCAAAACTCATCACACTGTATGTTGGCAATATGTGCAGTTTATTGTATATCAGTTATACCTCAGTAAATGTGTTTTTAAAAGGAAGAGGAAAAGAGTATATATTTGCTTTATCTGCATAAAAGAGTGGTTACCTTTTTGTAGAACAGGTCAGTGCATAGCAGAGAGAGTTCAAAAATGGGACTTTTGATAAATGTAAGTATATTACCGAGTCAGAAAAAATCACATGAATGCATACTGCTTAAACATTAAGATAGTAACACCAAGCATATTCGGAGTTGGGGGCACAGGTGTGAGCTGCCACGTAAGCCACGTTCAGGCAGCTGTGGGCTGAGGTCAGTGGTCGGGCACAGGTGCACACAACTCTTCTTAACAAAATTCTTGTTCTCTATGGCAAGATTTTCTTATCTAAGATAAGTTACAGAACTTACCTTTGTTTAAGATTGTTAGCCATAGCTTTAACTGTATCATTTCCCCATAGTTATTTTGGAACTGTTTTACTAAAATTTTACCATTTTGTGTTTTTACTTTTCTCGTCCATATGCTCTTACAATAGGAAAATAAAAAGTTTGATTTACGAATTGCTTTAATTGATTGCACTTCCATCTCTCTGTCCAACTCTTACCTGTTTCCTAATTTTATTCAGTCAGTTTGGGGGAAATGTGTATGTTACAGGAACAAGTGTGAACTTTGGTGTATGGGTTTTTTTCTCCTTCATGGTTATAACCCAAACATCCATTAATCATTAAGTTAGAAGATTTGAGGAATAATTTGGACATCTTACAGAACTTAGGTACAAAAATTTTTTCTGAATATATATTTTCATAGGACGATTTCTTAAATTAATGCATTCTACCCAGTCCAAAAAAAAAAAAAAAGAATGTTTTAAATTAAAGCCCTAACATAATTGACTTGTATGAAAATAATACTGGTTTGCATTTTTCATAGTATAGCGCTGTCTTATCAATCTGAGGGAGATTGTAAAAACAATAAACTTTATAAAATGAAGTTCAAAATGCATTCTAAAGTCTACCTTTTTTTTTTTTTAAATCCATTGCTGACCTATTCTTAATATAATGGAGGGGGGTAAACAGCACTGCATTTGAGCATTATAGGAGGATACCAGATAAAAATGTCTCTTTTGCTATAGTTGTATTTGTTTATAGTTGTATCCATGAGCCATATCCAGGTCCAGGAATCCAAATTTCGAGATGGTTTATGGTTCTGTTTTACCCTCTGGTCTTCTAGCCCCATTTTGAAGTCCTAAGGTAAACTGTGGAGTTTGGTTAATAATAAATTACTTACCAGCTTTGAGATCTTGAGCAAAATAACTTCCCTGAGCCGCCTTTTCCTCAAATAAGAGGTTTGTTGTGAGGATGAAATAATATATACCTCCCCTCTTATTAACATCCTCCCCACAGAGTAGTACATTTGTTTCAGTTGATGAACCTACACTGACACATTATTATCACCAATAATGGGGGAGGCCATGCATGTGCAGAGCCAGGGGGTATAGTGGAAATCTCTGGACCTCTCAGTTTTGCTGCTAACCTAAAACTGCTCTAAAAAGATCATTTGAAAAATCCTATATATATGAAAAATGATAGATCTGTGGATTGAGATCTCCACAAAGGACCTGTAATAACATAGGTGCTCACTGAATGCTAGCGCCTGACCCCACACAGTTCCATCTTGTACATATCCCGCAGCCGTGTGCGGTGTAGTCTGCCCAAATGGGTGTTCTCGCTTGGTTAAAAGGCATGTGATTGTCAAACTCTATTTTCAGAAAATGATGAGGAGCAGGAAGCACTGCCATCTCTTGATAAACCTGGCTGGTATTCTCAAGGGAACGCTGTCCACCTTTATGAACTTCTGAAGAAAATGACTGGCAAAAATGAACCCAAGGTATTTTCTGATTGAGGTGGGGTTGTTGATGCCCACTTGCAGACATGAACCATTATAAATTAAAAGCATAATTTCTAAATGCATTCAGCTTAGTTATGTATGGGGAAATCATCTACCTCTGCCTATCTGCCAGTCTTTTACCTCTTCTGCTTAAATAAGCCTTCTCTCTGTGATCTAGACTGGACCTTTATCTGTAACAGAGAAGAGCAAAGATTCCAAGCAGGGAGCCACAGTTCTAGGGGATACACTGGATTAGTGTGTGGGATACCTGCGGAATAATATCCTGATAACAGTTCATCAAACAAATTTTATATGTAAAACAGACATTAATTGAAATTACACCACAGACTAGCCTAAAGACATGCTTGCTTTTGATATCCTGGTCACATTGTTGATGTTGGACATTGGTGCATTTTTTATAGCAGGACACCTTCTTCTAAACAGTGTTTACCAGAGAGATCAATGGGTGACTGACGCCTTCTCCGTCGGCTCCCACATTGTCATAGCCCCCTGGGAACTCTTGAGGGGTTTAATAGAGCATCCTGACTTGGAGGTTCTAGTTCATAGTCCCTTGTCATTTTCTCAGGTAAATGTAAATTGAGGGGTATGGATTAGATCTATGGGGCTTTGCCTCAGAATACCTGGGGAGCCTCCCAGAGTGCACTTGCCCAACCTCCCCCCGCAACCCCCGTCAGAGATTGTTTCAGCCAGTCTGGGTAGGTCCCAGAAACTCTTCGAAAAGCAGTTGTGATGTGTACTCCTGCAAATATATCCCATTGTAACAAGTCATCTCTACTTCTCCACCAGTTCTTCAATTCTAAAGGCAGCCTTAACTGTAAACATACAGACTCTGAGTTCTTCAGAAAACTGAATAAAATCAGTTAGCCTCTGCCTTTCTTCTGCCTGCAAACGCACTGTGTCAATTCTTAACAGCAAACCTGGTGCCCCACAAACCAAAGGGGGCAAGTTGACAGTCACCTGTGAGGTACTCAAGGAAGTTTAAGATATTTATGTAACTTTCGTCCTATTCTAATAGGAATTTTTTTTCTGCTTCATGAAGTGAACACCACTTTCTTTCACAGTTCTCATGCCTCAAATAGAATTTGCTATCTGACTTACAGGTCGTTTACTTTGGTGACAGCATGCATTCAGACATTTTCCCAGCCCGTCATTATAGTAATTGGGAGACAGTTCTCATCCTGGAAGAGCTCAGAGGGGACAGAGACTGGAAGCCTGAAGAATCAGAGCCTCTAGAGAAGAAAGGAAAATATGAGGTAAGGGTTTCCTTCAGCTCTTCCCTGGAAAGAACAACCTTTATGTTTGACACATCTTAAAAAGTGCTTGTGCCAAGAGCAATGAAATCTCTTGGCACTTATGGTGATCTTCTTGCTATCTCAGCTCTGTTTTTAATCTTACTGATAATTTTTAAATAATGCCAAGATGACACTGACCATCTGTCTTCCCAGCAGTGCTATGACACCATGGGTGTTTTTTGGCTAATGTTGAGGCAACCAGATCCTGACCCACTATAGTCATACCCTATGTCTCTTTTGCTTGGCCATGAAAGCTCTTCTGCTCTTTCTTCATGAGTATAGGTTAATAAATTGGTAGCTCCTTTAGACTTGCTCCTGAGCTGCCAAGAATAAAACTTAGGTGAAAACTTGAGGTAAAATATGTCATAAATCTGAAAAGGGTAATTAGTAAATAAAAGCAAAAAAGAAGAAAGATCAGCAAATAATGTGCATTTCTAAATTCATTCCAGTGGAACAGATAAAGAAGGAAAAACTCAAGTCAAGAAACAAAAAATAACAACAAAAAGAAATGAGCTATTAAACCACACAGAGACATGGAGGAACCTAAAGGGCATACTACTAAGTGAAAGAAACCAATCTAAAAAGACTATATATTGTACAATTTCAGCTATAGGACATTCTAGAAAAGGCAAAACTACAGAAAATAAAAAGACCAGTAGTGCCAGGGGTTCAGGAGGGAGGAAGGTGAATAAATGGAGCACAAGGGATTTTTATGGTCGTAAAACTCTTCTGCACGATACTGTAATGGTGGAAACATGACATTATGCATTTGTCAGAACCCAAAGAACTATCCAACATAAAGTGTTAACCCTAATGCAAACTACAGACTTTCATTAGTACTGGTTAATTCGTGATAACAAATGTTAATAATAGGAGAGACAGTGGGGGGAAAGGGAGGCAGGAGGGGGACAGATGTATGAGGACGTTCTGTACTATCTGCTTTGTTTATCTGTAAACCTAAAGTCTATTTATTTAAAAAGTAATAGTAACTATAAGTAGACCCAACAAAATGTCAGATGTTAGATGTTTCCACTGAGTAGCATTTAGTCTTCAACATGACATTGGAAGTTCTTTGGACTAGTTGAGTTAAGAAGAGCTTTAAAGCAGTCTTATAGGAGGTAGGCCTTCTATCCTGAGTGACTTTGGAGAAGGTTTTCACTAAAGAGAAATTAAGAGATTTGGTTTCTTCAGAATGATTTGAGAATTACAGGTACTGTGTTAAGAAAATGAAGAGTCCATGGGATTTCTCCAACATTTATAATAAACAGTAGCCCCACCCTATTCCCATGAGCCCTTTCTCTTGTTAATTAGTTATAAGCACATGAACAGAGTTCATAATTGACTTTTAGACAGGAAATGATGCGTCAACAGCTTGAAAATTTTATTTCCTAAGACAAAATTGGAATAATGTCCCTTTCCTATCAAACTCTACCTCCCCAACCCACTCCGCTCCACTGAACATGGACAAGGAAGCAAGGAACAGGATGGTTTGGCCAAGTGACAAGGTTAGAATAAAGCCCTCAGAAGGTTCCAGTTTTAGCCCTGAACTGTCTTCCCATCTCCTACTGTTAAGATTCCAGGAAAAGTGGAGTTGTGGCAGATGGATTCCCCTGTTCTGATGGGGTCTGAGGCAGGTGTTTTGCTAGATTCCCAGCTGTGGCCTAAAGCATCATGTTGAAAAAGCAAAGTATTCTTGTACTACTTGACTCCAGAGTTACCCTGGTCAGACTGAATGCCACCATGTTTCTGTAGTTTGTTTTGAGGCAGTATTTGTATTGATGGGCTCATCCTTAGCTAATGTTTCAGGACAACTTAGTTTTCTCTGCTTTAAGGACAATCTTCTAATCATACATCTTTCTGCTTATATTTAAAAGCAGATTTAAAATTTAATTTAAAAACAATTGTGGGTGGGGCACCTGGGTGGCTCAGTCGGTTAAGCAGCTGCCTTCCGCCCAGGTCATGCATGATTCCAGGGTCCTGGGATCGAGCCCCACGTCGGGCTCCCTGCTGAGCGGGGAGCCTGCTTCTCCCTCTCCCTCTGCCTGCCGCTCCCCCTGCTTGTACTCTCTCTCTTTCTAATAAAAAATAAAACATTTAAAAAAAAAAAAATTGTGGGTGGGTTGTTTTTTTTTAATTATCTTCTAACATAACCTAGGATCACGACTTCTAAAAGCCAGACTGCTTTCATATTTAAGTTCCCCTGTATTCCTATACACAGAACACTTTTTCCATCAGCACATCAAAACCTGATATAAGTACAACATGTCATGAGAATTCAGATTCTTTCCTGCTTCCCTGTGGAGGAGACAGGAATACAGATATCCTCAGTTGCTACAGGAAGAAGGAAACAGTCCATAAAGAGAGCTAAACAGAATGCATCATGTGAGGGTTCTTCTGTTGATTTTGTAATTATTAAGAAAAATGTCATTTCATTTTCCTAACCAAGTGTCATACACAGAATATATATCACATGCAGTGTTTTAGTGAGTACAAAACCTGAATGCAAAGGGATTTAATTCCTTGTTGTCAATTTTATGCAGCTTAAGTGAACTTCTAACAGTATAATTTAAAAACAAATCAGATCATTTCAGGATCGATGCACTCACTGAACAAAAACATTTACTACATTCTGTGGAGATTAGCATTTTGTTTCACTTAGGCTTGAATTCAGTTTCTTGGATAGTTACAGTAATTTCACCCTCCATAAAACCATCTGGAATGTGAAGGTCACTTTTACTTCCCTTCATTTGTGGCAGGAAACTCAAGGTAAGGACAGAGAATATCTCAAATGGCACTCTAAAGGCTTATATAAGAAATTTTTTTCGAAAATCTTACGCATCTGTTGATTATCCACCCCACTATATTGAAGCATAACAGATAAGCAAAAATGACCCATTTTAATAATTAAACCTAGTTACGGAGAGACACTAAGAAAGAATAATTTGTTTCCATTTATCTTTGTTTTGGGAAATAAAAGTCACTTCATTAATCTTGTAATTACTTGGACAGTCTTTTTTTTTTTTTTTTTTAAGATTTTATTTTTTATTTATTCATGAGAGACAGAGAGAGAGAGGCAGAGGGAGAAGCAGGCTCCCAAGGAGCAGGGAGCCCGATGCGGGACTCGATCCCAGGACTCCGGGATCATAACCCGAGCTGAAGGCAGACGCTTAACCATCTGAGCCACCCAGGCGCCCTACTTGGACAGTCTTAAATTTCATAAGATTAGCCTCCAAAAGGAGCTCTCCTCTTTAGCTTCCTTCATTACTGTTGTCATCTGTTTCTTCATTTTAACTCAAAACAAATAAAAATGTATTCTTCAGCTTTTTACAGTAACATATTATGAAATTTAGGTGCAAAAATAATTCATTTTAATGATGGAAATTCTCAGCAAACCAGAAGGGGCCAGCCTTTTACTAGAGAAACGCTATCCAACAAAACACAGTGAGAATCTAATCTGTAATGGAAAATTTAATGAGGAAAAAAGCCATACTTAATGGAGACACATGCTCTTCAAGGTTCTGAGCTAGACAAAGGATATCTGTTATTAATTATATTGTGTTACAGAGAGGTGACCAACGCCACCAGAAAAATATGGAATTAGGGTTAGAAGATACCAAATTGTGATTATTTCAGAGTTGTATGGTCATTAGCATAGACCACCTTAGGAAATCAGCAAACTGTTAAACTAAGAAGAGAGTTGTGAAAATGCTGGATCCAAATCAGTATTCAGAAATCAAGAGCTTGGGGCACGTGGGTGGCTCGGTCAGTTAAGCGTCTGACTCTTGATTTTGGCTCAGGTCATGATCTCAGGGTCATGAGATCAAGCCCTTTGTCAGGCCCCACACTGGGTGTGGAGCTGCTTAACATTCTCTGTCTCCCTCTCCCTCTGCTCCTCCCCGCTCGCATTCTCTCTTTCTTAAAAGAATCAGAGGTGCCTGGGTGGCTCAGTTGTTAAGCGTCTGCCTTGGGCTCAGGTCATGATCCCAGAGTCCTGGAATCGAGCCCCGCATCGGGCTCCCTGCTCGGTGGGAAGCCTGCTTCTCCCTTTCCCACTCCCCCTGCTTGTGTTCCCTCTCTCGCTGTGTCTCTCTCTCTGCCAAATAAATAAATAAAATCTTTAAAAAAAAAAGAATCAGTAGCTTTTCTCTGTACCACCAGTAAGGACTTACAAAGTGTAACAAGAAATCAATCATTTACAAAAGCAAAGAAAATGAATCACTGTATTACTATCTAGGAATATATCTCATAAGACCTTGATAGAGGTCTTAAATCTCTATTAGGGTTTCTGAATGGGTGAAAGGAATCAAAAGTATAAATCTCCAATTATAAAATAAATAAGTCTTGGGGACTTAATGTACAGCATGGTAACCATGGTGAATAATACTATATTTACACTTGAAAGTTGCTAGGAGAGTAGATTTTTAGAGTTCTGATCATAAGAAAAATTTGTAAACTAGACTTACTATGATCATTTTGCAATATACAGAAACATCAAATTATTATGTTCTGCACCTAAAACTAGTATGTCAATTACACCTCAATTTAAAAAAAACAGATTCTAGGGGCGCCTGGGTGGCTCAGTCATTAAACGTCTGCATCCGGCTCAGGTCATGATCCTGGGGTCCTGGGATCAAGCCCCGCATCAGGCTCCCTGCTCAGCAGGAGGCCTGCTTCTCCCTCTCCCACTCGCCCTGCTTGTGTTCTCTCTTACTGTGTCTTTGTCAAATAAATAAATAAAATCTTTAAAAAAAATAAAAAAGATTCTAAATACAAATGAAAAAATAGAAAGATATACCATATTTTAAGATTATACTGATACCTATTTTCCTCAGATTTATTTATAAAGTCAACATAATGTTATACAAAATCCCAGGAGGATTTTGGTTGGACCTTCACAAACTGATTCTGCATTTAGGCAGAAAACTGAAGGCCCACAAATAGCTAAGATAATTTTATAAAACAGGATAATAAAGGGGAGGAATCTCACCCTATTTGATACTAAACATGTTAGGAAGCTACAGTAACTTTTTAATATAGTATTAATAACAAAATATATAAAAAGGTCAGTGAACAGAGGAAAAAGAACGCAGACATAAGACCCTTGATCACATTCCAAGTTACCATGTAAATGTGATGCATGATAGAGGGTTATCAATCAGCAGGAAAAGATAGTTCAGTAAAAAGCACTGAGTAAGTAGACCCAATATATGGAGAAAAATGAGTCCCTTTTTCCCCCTTGTATAAATTCTAAATGGATTATAGACCTGAAAATAAATATATCTGTAAAAATAGTGGAAGAAAATTATGAAAATATCTTTGTGGGCTTAGAATAGGGAAGAATTTCTCAAGTTAGAATCCAAATGGGCAGCAATAAGTAGAAAAAATGACTTTGGGGATGCCTGGGTGGCTCAGTCAGCTAAGCATCTGCCTTTGGCTCAGGTCATGATCCCGGGGTCCTGGGATCGAGTCCCGCATCGGGCTCCTTGCTACGCGGGGAGCCTGTTTCTCCCTCTGCCTGCCGCTCCCCCTGCTTGTGCTTACTTTCTGCCTCTCTTTCCCTCTCTCTCTGACAAATAAATAAAATCTTTTAAAAATAGAAAAAAGAAAAAATGACTTTGTATCATTATTAATTTTTGTTCAAGATACCTGGAATACTGTTAACCAGTGGGCAAAAGACAGGGAAAAGGGTCTTAAAACATCTTTTTAGATAGAACATTATGAAATTGCCCTTTTTCGTATGTCTAAAATAGTTGAACATCAGGACTTTCTTATGGTTGAACCTAATAAAAACCAACAGTGAATTTATATCTGTTGAAGTAAGAAATTGGACAAAAGGTATCCAGCAGTTGACTGACAGGGAAAGCTTACATAGGAGGAGATACCTATCCTCATTAGTAATCCATGAAGCATAACTTAAAACAATGGTGATATTGATACCACCTGCAAGCAGTCAGATTGATAACACTGAGTCTGGATTTTTAAATTGATTTACTAATAAAATAGTCTGAGATACATTTCTATGAGTTAGATTAGAAAAACATAAACTGGGACGAATATTGTTCACTAAAGCTTCACTCCATTAGACAACTCTGTAGTATAATGAAATAAACTTTAATCTTTATTTTAGTAAACAGTTATTTGGCATTTCAGTCAGAAACAAACACTGTTTTGTTAAGAATTAGGCCTCCGGGGCACCTGGCTGACTCATTCTGAAGAGCATGACACTCTTGGTCTCGGGGTCACGAGTTTGAGCCCCACATCGGGTGTAGAGATTACTTGAATAAATAAAACTTAAAAAAAAAAAAAAAAGAATTATGCCTGGAACATAACCACTACCCTTTAGAAATTCCCAGAATGAAGAGTATATCTGGGGCAGGGACTATGGTTAGACCTACTAGACATACTTATCTCTCAGTAGTCCAGTGGGTAGCTAAAAAATAAAGCATATTTTTTAAAAGAACCAGTAATTTGAATTTGTATCAGTTTGTTGGCTTTATGTTCCAGATACATTGAAAGCGATAAATAATAATTGTGTCCTCATTCCCTTCTAAAAAAATCTTCCAAAAAAAAACCCAAATAAAATTAGACCAAGTTGTTTTTTAACTACCCATTAGACAAAATAGTAATAATAAAATTAGGGAGTTAAGTGTGGGGGAAAAAATTTACCCCTCTAGATTGCTGTGTTTGGGGTAGTTTTTAGATTAAAACCAATTGACCATTTTTTTAAAAAAAGAATAAAAGGTGTAATGAGTTTGGAGTTAGATTCTTTCAAATTACTTTCTATGAGACATTTTTTTGTTAGGTTTTTTTTCTCAGCCCTCTTTTGTAGTTAGTCTTGTCAGTAAAAATGTTACTAGTTAGGTAGAGGAAACTGGTTATATTCAGGGCTTTTTGTCTTTCTTGAAAACTTCTTACTTTTCCATGGTGGTCAGTGACCCTAACATGATTATTCATACACATACTTTTTTTTTTTCCTTTTTCAAGACTGAAAATGGATCATTTCTAATTTATATAATAAGAGAAAGAGAGATCCAATATAACTTAGTTTCCATATGTATAATACTCTCTCTTATATAGATTCATCCTTAATTAAATCTACTTACACTGTAATTGAGAAATAAGATTTGGTAGCTCTGTGTATGTGTACATACACATACAAATTTTTCAGAGCAATACTCAAAATTTTTATCACAAGTGTCAAACATAAGATCTTATTGAATTAGCAGAGATATCTTAATAAGTGTTTGTTTCAACTGACAAACAGTGTTTGTTTATGATTGAAATGCCAAATGCCATTCATTATTAAAAAGCCAGTCTAACACCATTCTCTTGTTTAGCATATACATAACTTTTTAATTTATGCAAGCCTCTTTGCTAAGAATATCAGAGACTTCTGCTTGAGTCACACACAGTTCCTTTTTTTTTTTTTTTTAGATTTTATTTATTTATTTGTCAGAGAGAGAGAGTACAAGCAGGGGGAGCGGCAGGCAGAGGGAGAAGCAGGCTCCCTGCTGAGCAAGGAGCCTGATGCGGGACTCGATCCCAGGGCCCTCTGCCTGCAGCTCCCCCTGCTTGTGCTCTCTCTCTCTGACAAATAAATAAATAAAATCTTAAAAAAAAAGATGACAGATTTTATAATCCAGATTATATGGATATGATGGGAGTTATTACAATTCTTACTTTTATTCCATATCCATAAAACACTGAGAAGTATTTTTTAATGAATCTTTTAGTCTACAATTTTTATATCCCTGCTCTGACCTAGACATTAAGCCTTGGAGTTACAATAATATATAAGAAAGCTCCTAATCTTCTATAGTTCATTGTCTGCCAGAAGTGAAAAGTAATAGTATGATAATTTAAAGTTAGCATGAGTAGTAGTATATTAGGAATAAACTCAGGGTGGGAAAATGGAGAAGACCTAATCTAAGCTGAGAGTGGGACAGTTAAGGAAAATGTCCTAGATGGCATCCAGGCCAGATCCCAAAGGATGAGAAAGGGTTCCCAAACAAAACCAGGGGAGGATACTCTTTTTTTTTTTTTTTTTTAGGGAGAGAGCATTGGGCGGGGTGGGGGGGGCGGGTTGGCAGAGGGAGAAGGAGAGAGAATCTTAAGCAGGCTCTATGCTCAGCACAGAGCCCAATGCAGAGCTCGATCTCACCACCCTGACATCATGACCTGAGCAGAAATCAAGAGTCAGATGCTTAACCAACTGAGCCACCTAGGTACTCCCAGAGGAGGAAAGAACTTCTAAGCTTTGTTTTCCTTTTTATATAGTATCTGGTTTGGTTAAAGGTAAACTACTGAAATTTCTAGTTTTTCTATTTTGATTTACTTAATGGGGGAAAAACTTATGACATTGAAAATTAATCATAGTTTTCATTGTTTTCTTCTCTTGTTTCAGGGATCAAAGGCAAAGCCTCTAAATACATTATCTAAAAAGTGGGGCTCTTTTTTTATTGATTCAGTTTCGGGACTGGAAAATACAGAAGACTCACTGGTTTATACATGGTCTTGTAAGAGAATCAGTACTTACAGCACTATTGCAATTCCAAGTATTGAGGCAATAGCAGGTAAGCAGAAAAATACTTATAAAACTTTAGCTGTTAGTAGACAGTAATGACTGTAAGTACTAGAATTCTTGCCTTTGAAAGAAGAAAATCTTCCCATGGCATTTATTTTTCTTGGGATACACCTAGGTTATGGCAACCTAGGTAATTAGGACCTACCTGTCTCCTGGAGCCAACTACAAAAACTGGATTTTTTTTTTTTTTAAGTCTGCTTGGAGTCATAGGATAAAAGGAAAAATTATCAGGACAGGGTCCTGAAGAAGCCATGTAAGGTGTACCTGACTTTTGGAGCTGCTTTTCCCTTAGTGTTTGGTGTTTGCTAATTCTAAAGAGGGCACCAGGGAAAGTAAGTGGACCTTTCATTAGCTTCCTGAGCCTACAGGCATAGGAAGTGGAAGGTAAGGTCTGCCAGAGGAGGGGTGGACGTGATGGACTCTCTTAGTCTGTGTTGAGACCCTGAATTTATCTTAAAGATAACTAAAACTCAGTGTTAGATCAGATGAATCCCTAAAACTGGATTGAGAATATTCTCTTTAGAGGAAGGTAACATCAGTCTAGGACTCATATAATTTCTAAAAACAATATAAGGTTCAGCACATAATGAAAAATAGCTGGGCCCACAAGGGTATGAGACTAATACACTAACAGAAATAAGGAAATTTAAAAAAAAAAAGAAAGAAAGAACGAAATTTACTATGGCCAAGTACAGAAAAGGACTGAGAAATTTAGTAGAGACATAAAAACAATAAAGAGAATAGATGTTTGGGGCGCCTGGGTGGTTCAGATGGTTGAGCGTCTGCCTTCGACTCAGATCATGGTCCCAGGGTCCTGGGATCGAGTCCCACATCGGGCTCCCTGCTCCTTGGGAGCCTGCTTCTCCCTCTGCCTCTCTCTCTCTCTCTGTCTTTCATGAATAAATAAATAAAATCTTTAAAAAAAAAAAGAATAGATGTTTGAAATATTAGAAAATCAAAATTAAAAACTAATGGATGTTTAAAGCAGATTAGATACAGTTAAAAAGTTAATTAATGCACTGGAAGACAGGCCAGAAGAAAATATCCAGAATGAAGCATGAAGAAAAGAAAAAAAAAAGCAAGATACAGAAAAAACGAAGATAAAGAAGAGGGACAAAGCAACATAGGAGATACACTGAGAAGGAATAAGATTTCTATAATTGGAAACCCCAGGAGATGAGAGAATAAGCCAGAAGCAATAGCTACAACTTTCCAAAAATGATGAAAAGAAATAAGCCAAAGGTGTAAGAAGCCCAAATTAACTGAAACAAAATAAATAAAAACAATTCCAAAGTTAACTGCTAAAAGACAAAGATAATTAAGAAATATTAAAAGCAGCCAGAGAATTAAAAACACTGATTTCAAAGGAGTAAGAGTTAGACGGACATCTGACTTCTCCCAAAACCAAAAAGCCAACACAGTAGAGCAGTATCTTTAAATTGCTGAAAGACAATGGCTATCAATCTTGATGGTAGTCAACATCCAGTAAAGATACCATTGAAGAATAAAAGAAAAATATTTTTATTTTTTTTTTAAAGATTTTTATTTATTGATTGATTTGAGAGAGAGAGAGATAGGGAACACAAGCAGGGGGAGTGGGAGAGGGAGAAGCAGGCTTCCCTCCAAGCAGGGAGCACGATGTGGGGCTTGATCCCAGGACCCTGGGATCATGACCTAAGCCGAAAACAGACACTTAACCGACTGAACCACCCAGGTGCCCCAAGAAAAGTATTTTTAGACAGTCAAAAATGGAGGAAATTTATCTCCAGAAGACCTACACTAAAGAAAATACTAGGGTACTGTTCTTCAGGCAAAAGAAAGAATGATCCCTGTTGGAAGACTGAAGATGCAAGAAAGAATATACAGCAACAAAGGGATAAGCTACATGAATAAATTAAATGAACATTTTCTGTTGGAAAAATTTTTTAAAGGTCCTAAGAGTTTTAAAGAAAGAATTGTTTTATTTTTATTTATTTATTTATTTATTTATTTATTTATTTTTAGAGCGAGAGAGAGTATGTGTGGGTGAGTGGGGGTTGGGGGATGGGGACAGAGGAAGAGAGAGATAATCTTAAGCAGGCTCCACACCCAGCACAGAGCCCAACATGGGGCTGTATCTCACAACCCTGAGATCATGACCTGAGCCAAAATCAAAAGTCGGACACTTAATCAACTGAGCCACCCGGGTGCCCCTAAAGAAAGAATTTTAAAACATGAAAGACTCCACCAAAAAATTGCTAGAACTGATACAGAAATTCAACAAAGTCACAGTATATAAAATCAATACAGAGAAATCAGTTGCATTTCTATACACTAACAATGAGCAGAAGAAAGAGAAATCAAGGAATGGATCCCATGTACAACTGGACCAAAAACCATAAGATACCTAGGAATAAATGTAACCAAAGAGGTAAAGGACCTATACTTTGAAAACTATAGAACACTTATGAAAGAAATTGCAGAAGACACAAAGAAATGGAAAAACATTCCATGCTCATGGATTGGAAGAATATTGTTAAAATGTCTATAACTACCCAAAGCAATCTACACATTCAATGCAATCCCGATCAAAATAACACAGCATTTTTCACAGAGCTGGAATAAATCCTAAAATTTGTATGGAACCAGAAAAGACCCTGAATAGCCAAAGTAATGTGAAAAAAAACAAAAAACAAAGCTGGAGGCATCACGGTTCCAGACTTCAACCTGTATTACAAAGCTGTAATCATCAAGACAATGTGGTGCGGGCACAAAAACAGACACATAGATCAATGGAACAGAATAGGAACCCAGAAATCGACCCTCAACTCTATGATCAACTAATCTTTGACAAAGCAGGAGAGAATATCCAGTGGAAAAAAGACACTCTCTTCAACAAACGGTGTTGGGAAAATTGGGACAGCCACATGCAGAAGAATGAAACTCAACTACTTTCTTACACCATACACAAAAATAAACCCAAAATGGATGAAAGACCTAAATGTGAGACAGGAACCCATCAAAATCTGAGTAGAGAACACAGGCAGCAACCTCTTTGACCTCAGCCACAGCAACTTCTTGCTAGACATGGCTCCAAAGGCAAGGGAAACAAAAGCAAAAATGAACTACTGGAACTTCATCAAGATAAAAAGCTTTTGCACACCAACGGAAACAGTCTACAAAACTAAAAGGCAACCTACAGAATGGGAGAAGATATTTGCAAACGTCTTATCAGATAAAATATCCAAAATCTATAAAGAACTTATCAAACTCAACACCCAAAAAAACAAAAAATCTGGTCAAGAAATGGGCAGAAGACATGAACAGACGTTTCTCCAAAGAAGACATACAAATGGCCAACAGACACATGAAAAAATATTCGTCATCACTTGGCATCAGGGAAATACAAATCAAACTACAATGAGATACCACCTCACACTGGTCATAATGGCTAAAATGAACAACTCAGGAAACATAGATGTTGGTGAGGATGCAGAGAAAGGGGGACCCTCTTACACTGTTGGTGGGAATGCATACTGGTGTGGCCACTCTGGAAAATAGTATGGAGGCTCCTCAAAAAGTTAAAAATGGGGCTACGCTATGACCCAGGATTGCACTCCTAGGTATCTATCCAAAGGATACAAAAATAGTGATTCGAAGGGGCATAGGCACCCCAATGTTTATAGCAGCACTATCAACAATAGCCAAAATATGGAAAGAGCCCAGATGTCCATCAACAGATGAATGGATAAAGATGTGGTGTGTGTGTATGTGTGTATATGTATGTATACACAACACAGACACACACACACACAATGGAACACTACTCAGCCATCAAAAAGAATGAAATCTTGTCATTTGCAAAGACATGGTTGGAACTAGAGGGTATTATGCTAAGCAAAATAAGTCAAAGACAAATACCACATGATTTCACTCATATGTGGAATTTAAGAAAACAAAATAGATGAACATGGGGAAAGGAAGGAAAAATAAGATGAAAACAAAGAGGGAGGCAACTCTTAAGAGTTGAGAAACTCTTAACTATAGGAAACAAACAGGGTTGCTAGAGGGGAGGTGGGGATGGGGTAACTGAGTTTTGGGCATTATGGAGGGCACTTGAAGTAATGAGCACTGGGTATTAGATGCAACTGGTGAATCACTAAATTCTACCTCCAAAACTAATAATACAGTATATGTTAATTAAATTTAAATTAAAATATATTTTTTTCAAATGACGCCAGTGGCAGTGGGACAGTTGGAGTTAAAATGCCCTAGCATCCTTGTATTATATGGTAAGGAATAAGAGTATGTTAGGTATTATGCATGTTGTAATCTCTAGGATAACTACCAAAGAAACTGTAATGAGATACATACTAGGATAAAATCTAAAACAAAAATGGAAAGAAAAGAGTATGAAAAATAAACAAGACATGGAGAATATTCAGGAAGATGACAGATTTAAAGCTGAGTAATTATATTAAGTATAGATGGCAAAAATCTCTGATTAAAGTCCTGAATGCAATAATGAAACCCAACTATGGGCTGTTCAGAAAAGACATCTCTGAAATACAAGGACACAGAAAGTTTGAATATCAGAAGATGGCAAGAGCTTATATCATGTTAATGGTAACTAAAAGAAAGTTAGCTATATTAATGTGAAACAAAAAAGACATTAAGGAAAAATCCATTATTAACATGAAAGAGAATTACTTCATAATAGTAAATTTGGTTCTCAGAAAATATGTATCTGAAAGTCTGAGGTATTCACAGGGCCCCTGATTAAGATCAGAACTTAAATCCCTCCATTTTCTTAAAGCCAGGAAACTGCTGAAAAATCCACTCTGCTTTGCAGAGGTACATGTTTTTACTCATTAGTTGCCTGAAGTTCTCCTCAGAATTTGGCAACACGCCTGAGGAGAAAACCAGCAGAGTCCAGTTCTCCACCCATTCCTTTACGGCAGATTGCTAGCCCCTCAATTTTTGACTGCACCCCTTCAAGACTGCCAAAAGCTCTGCTCGTTTTTCCTGCTGCTAGTAACTGCCCCTGCCTCCAGGAAGAATCCAGGTGCCTGAGGGAAAAAGCTGTGACAGAATGTCAGCTCACTCTCTGCTTGCTAGGCCTTCCCAGGAACTGGGTCCTCAGGTCTTAGGTGGCCTCTCCAGTGACTTCACCCTGATGTTTGTATTTTATTCAGCTTTTCTACTTGTCCTAGCTCCAGTTTATAAGCAGAAATCTACTTAAGTTTTTGTTTTGTTTTGTTTTGTTTTTTTAAAGATTTTATTTATTTGACAGAGAGACAGCAAGAGAGGGAACACAAGCTGGGGGAGTAGGCGAGGGAGAAGCAGGCTTCCCGCCGAGCAGGGAGCCCGATGCGGGGCTCGATCCAGGACCCCGGGATCATGACCTGAGCCGAAGGCAGACGTTTAACGACTGAGCCACCGAGGCACCCCCTAACCTTAGATTCTTCTTTCTTAAATTGGGGATAATAGCAAGCTGCATTTCCTCTCTCACAGGATGGATGTGAGAGAAAGTAAAGCAAGATATTTATCTGAATTATTGATAGGGTGATGATGATATGATGATGATATGATGATAATTACAATCCTAAAATACATATAACCTTCCAGAAAGTCCATTCTCTATGCCAGCGTACAAATCCAATATGTCAATCTATCCTCATTAAAATATCTCATTCTCATTAGTTTCAAAAGAATAGTTTAATTTTCATTTTGTTCCATGCTTAAACACGTAAGATTAAAGAAAGATAACCTAAATATATTTCTTCCTTTTACAAACAATTTTCCTGTAAAAGACATGGAACTTGTAACTTGAAGGGGCTAGCCCAGAATTGAACTATTATTTTCAGTTTTTCTATTTCATTCTTCCTTTATTTCAAAGTGATTCAAATTTATAGTGAGAGAATAAAGTAATATGATAATGGAAGCCGATGAATTATTGCAATAGTATGTGGATAAAAACTGGTTCAATGAGATATGGTTATGAAATAGTAAGAAAGTCAAAGTAAAGTGAATCTTCATTATTCTAGGATTTAAATATTTCTCCGAAGAATGAGAAAATAACCCCCTCTCCATCTTCTGGGAGTAATTACCTCTCCTTAAAGAAGCAGTATTAACATTAGCGCATCTCCCGTTTTCATTTGCCAAAAGCTTTCTTCCACAGCCCCCTGGAAAAGAACTTGGCGCTGGGCTTTTGTCTTCTACCTTTTCTCAGGAGAAAATATTAAGAAGGACTTAACAGTAGTCAAACAAAGCTAAACATGTACCGATTTTTTGTGGTGAAAGGAGGAGAGAGTTGATGTGTCATATTCAATTGTTGATTTTGATGTCCGGGATACTTCCTTAGAAAGCAAAGTGTTAGTCTCTAAGTTAGCACTCTGCTATGTTCACATTCTCATAAAGAAGTTCTATCTCACAGAAAACTTGAAATTGATTATTTCAGTAACATATTCAGTAAAGTTTGATACGACTGTGTAATTTACCTTATTTTTCAAGTAAGAAAAATGGCTGGGAGAAAAATACTGATGGCCATGGCTTCAGACATGTTGAGGATAGAATCTATATATACATGTTATCCTGCTAATACCTTTTAAAAAAAAAAGATCCAGAGTTTTTCTGTTTCTGTTATATTTTACGTTGAACTTACTGTTCAAGAATATTTGTTCATTTTGGCTCACTTCATTTAATTGCTAGATAATATGGTTGATATGATGTGTATTTAATACACAGAGTTTAATAGAATATTGTTGTGGTAAATAAGAATTCAGGATTTGTCTGCCTTTCTCTTTTCTTCCAAAGAGCACCAGAAATGACTTTCCTATAACAGAGATGCCATTCTTTCCCTCTTATTGAATCCCCAGTCTGGAGATCCTTGTTTTAATAGAAGAGTCATCTGATCTCACCTGGTTATAAAATGCCCAGATTTCTTAACAGATCTTTTCTGCTACCTGGAAGAGAAAATATTTGCTTTAAGTGAGATAGGAGGTGAAAAACAAATACTCTGCCTTTGCCTCTTAAAACCTCTTTGTATTCATGAAATGTTTCTTTCTTAATGAATATCTTGTTAGGTTTGGTTATCTCATTGACATTTAAATACAAAGACTCATTTTTATAGATTTTATAAGTTTGCACTTGCTAGCTATATACATTATAGTGATGACTGGTTTATAAGGATTGTGATAATGTAACCATTTTTAACCTTACAGTAATAGCTACGCAGAAACCTAAACATTTACTTCAGCAAATGTATAGGAAAGAGAGGAAAAGATGACTGGTTGAACTCTTAGTCTGTATCATTTTGGTGGCTTCTTAGAAATCCAAGACCTCACATATATGATTTTAGAAACTCAGTGTTAGCAATTTACTTTCCAATGCCTTTGTAATGTGTGGCTCAAAATATACCACAGCTAACTGAGCGGTCAAGACCAATGAAATTCACTAATACTGAACGTTTTTCTGTTTACAACATCTTAGGTTTTTCAGGCATCAGACAGGCAGTGTTCCTGCTTCCCAGTTTCTAGCACTAGTGTTTTCCTCATAAGGATTAACTACCTGGACTTGATGATTCTCACTGGCATTTAATATAAAGTATAATTTTTATGCTAGTGTCATTTTCAAAGTACTCAGTACTTCCAAATGATGTTTTACTTGTGAGAGTTTTGAAATAAGGGTTATTGCCCAGCATCTACATGTGGAATGAGTATCGTAACATGGCATATATCATAACGTTTCACTTGTAATATTTCTGGTAATGTTTCCTTGGAAGAAATTTGGGAAGAAGATATCTGAAGGCTAGCTTTTGAGAAATTTAAAGATGTCACAATGTCTCCCCATCAATAAAGTACGCATTTTATGTTCTCTCTCCCAATTTCCCTTGTGGCTGTGCATGCACGTGTGTGAGTGTGTGTGAGAGAGATGATTATCATATGGAGAAAGCTGCCACACTGTGTATATTAAAATCCTTATTTATCTAAGCATTCAAAAATTATTCTTAGTAACTCTGTTATTACTAAGGGCCAAGAAGATTATTAGTTCTCATTTACTAGTTACATGATGCTCTGAGTAGAGCCTGAGAGACTTTTAAATTAAAAAAAAAAATTAGATGAGCATGCCTATTTTATGTGTTAACTTTTGTACAGAGAATGTTAAAATTAAACTCACTAGTTAGATCACTGAAGATGATTTATAAAACTTCTAAATGTGTCTTGACTTAAATTATTGTAAATTTTATGGAGAAAAACATCTATACTCTTCATGTTAGGTGCAACCTATCCAGGTGACAAAAGAAATTAAAATCATGAAACTCTAAAAAATAAGCTTTATTATCAGTAACTCAAATTTTGATTTGTTTATATTTATGAATGGCCTTTTGAGATCTGCAAAATAATAAAATTGTTCTTTTTCCCAGAATTACCCCTGGACTACAAATTTTCAAGGTTTTCTTCAAGCAATTCAAAAACAGCTGGCTACTATCCAAACCCTCCATTGATCTTAACAAATAATGAGACACTGACAAGCAAATAAACTGTCTTTACTGGAAAATGAAGAACTATATATGCAGCAAGTCTACTGTAAAAATGTTATCTTTCAAAAAATAACTATAAAATGCTTTATAGGAACAAATTCTTAATGATAACTTACCAAGAAATTGATGTTTTTTCCATAGGTCTCCTTTCTGTATAGACCATCTTTATGCCCAGCAACTCATTATATTAAAATCTCAGTATCTTAGAACTGAAAAGAACCTTAATATTTTCTATACTAATAGTTCTGAGATTAGGATTCATTTGGGGATTAGGAATCACCTGTGTAATATATACATACATTCATACACACACACAATTTACACATATGCCTAGACCAGTGGTTCTCAAAGTGTAGTCCCCAAACCACTAGCACAGTATCACCTGAGAATCTGATAGAAATACAAATTTGCAGGCCCCACGCAAGGCCTGCAGAATCAGAAATGCTGGGGATGCAACCCAGCACCCTGTGTTTTAATGTTAGTGGATTCATATACTAAAGTTCAAGAATCACTAGCTAGACCATAACCTCCAGAGATTGGTTTAATTGGTCTGGAAATATAGATGAGCATTGATATCTTTTACCTGCCCCAGGAAAAGTGCAGCCAGAATTGAGAATAACTGATCTCTATCTGTTCCTTCCACTTAAAACCAAAAATACTGAGTCTAGTGAGAATAGACTATCCAAGCTATCAGGTTTTATGCTATTCTTAAGTTTTCCAAAACAAGGAGCTAAAGAGGATTTCTTGTGATACCACACAGCCAGTATGGGACAGAAATGAGATGAGAAGCCAACTATTTCAACCTCTAATGTTACTCATAAGGGTTTCCCCCCCCAATAATGTTAAAGGCTATATAATTAATTTTCATTCACCTTAACATACATATTCTCAATGGGACAAAAATTCGTTCTTGGGGTGAAAAAAATAATAGTGCAATGAATTGTGCCCCTCCAAAGCTCAACCCTACCCAGTAAATCTTAGTCTTTAGCATTAATTTCTCTCATTAGGGAAAAACAATTTAAAGTTAAATTTATTAATTAAATTTAATTTGGTTGAATTTAATTTTTCTCGGGGGGTAGTAATGAAAAAAAGATTGAGAAAAATGCTTTAAGAGGTTTCATAGTTATATTACAATCCAGGATTATTGTGTTCCATGTGCTTTGTATAGTCCTCTAATAATAGCTACTTGTGGCAAGATGTCTGGAGCCGGATGTTTACAATAAATTCCTGGCGACTCTTTATAATTTCACTCTGTCCATCATGGACAGTGTCAGAAAACACAATGGTCACTATCATTATTTTACCTGGATTGTAGCAGAGAACTTAACATATTGATGCATGCAATGAAAAGATAAATACTTCATTAAATTTTTAAATGCTCAAATAATCCCAAATGTATTCTGGGAATGAGTATCTCAGGCTAGGTAAACAGTTACTGAAATTTTTTCCTCAATGTCAGTAACTCTGTTTGATATCTACTAATAAGTATATGGTAATGTATTTAAAATTGATTTCCAAAATCTTATTGGAATATAACGAACACACAATCATCTTAGGGCTAAATGAAAGATGCTGTCTCACGTATACAAATAGATACTTAATTTCTTTAAAAATAAAGCTATTTTTCCTTATGTGGATTTATTTTGTCAATGGGAAAGAAGAATGTATCTTTTTTTTTCTTTTTAAGATTTTATTTATTTATTCGACAGAGAGAGAGACAGCGAGAGAGGGAACACAAGCAGGGGGGAGTGGGAGAGGAAGAAGCAGGATTCCCGCTGAGCAGGGAGCCAGATGCGGGGCTCGATCCCAGGACCCTGGGATCATGACCTGAGCTGAAGGCAGATGCTTAACGTCTGAGCCACCCAGGCGCCCCAAGAAAGTATCTTTAAATGCTTATAAACTGCTATTATTAATATGAAAAATGAGAACCCCAAAATATGTTAATTGCACTTTTTTGGTCACTAAGGATTGAAAAAAAATGGAACTCATTCAGAAGTTCCCATCCTACTTTTACCAGTACTTACCTAAGGGATCTGAACAAGTTACCATATATATCTAATCTGACCTCAGTTTTTTCCATCTTGTCGAAAAGGTTAGAGTTTTATTTCCAAGTTTCCTAATATACTTCTAGCAGAGTCAGTTCTTCTAATGAATGTTGTTTTTCTGTTGGATAATTAGACTTTTAAGTTTTTTTATTTCATTTTTTCTAAAAAGTGCCAGTGTTTCTAATTGGATATGAAAAGTAAAAATAATTTAAAAATGGCACTATAAAAATTAAAAAGATATTAGAGAAGAAAAGCTATACTTTAATAAAGTTAAATGAAGCAAGAAAGCAGGAAAATTGTGTAAATGGACGGAGGACTTAAGTTTAATATTAGCATACAGGCAAACATTCATCATCTGAAAGATAACTACAAATAAATGCAAGGGATTTTAGATTTTCCTTGCTGGCCACTGTTGATCTCATCAGCAGAGGTAAGATCTGAATGTCACAGTGGTAACAGTTTGTCAGAATTTGGTTTTTAGAATATTAGGTAGAGAAACTTCAGTTAAACCATGAATTGCCATCTAAAATCAACTAAAGTTTACTCTTGAAATTCATGGGTCTGAACTGCATGGGTCCGCTTATATGCAAATATTTCTTGATACAGTACTGTAAATGTATTTTCCTTATGATTTTAACATTTTCTTTTTTTCTAGCTTTATTATAAAAATATAGCATACAATACATATACAAAGTATGTATTAATGTTATCAGTAAGGGTTCCAGTTAACAGTAGGGTATTAGTAGTCAAGTTTGGCAGAGGAGTCAAACATTACGCATGGATTTTTGACTGCATCGGGGAGGGGGCCCTAATACCCACATGGTTCAAGGGTCAACTATGCTTCTGAGTTATTTAAATTTGAAATCAGGTATTATTTCCCCACCAATTTTCATATCCAACAACTTTAAATACATGTATTTAAAGCAAAAAAAAAATATATATATATATATATATATACACACACATATGTATATATACACACTTATACATGTATACACACACTTTTATTGAACTGGTTTGAATGAAAAATCTGTATGATTATATAACAAACCAGCATAAAATAGAATGTCAAACTCTCTTTGGATATAATAACCTTGACTATATTAGAATCACATGGATAGCTTTTTCTGAAATGTGATGTTACAGTAACATTCCCTTACCTCTTCTCAGAGTCTTGAGAAGATTACCATAAGAGCTGACTTCCAGATTAGTGCAAGACTGGGATATATTCAAGAGTTAACTCACCCACTGTGCTGCCCATGAAAATCCTTGGGAATGGTCCAGTCCACATAGGGTGAATTCAAAAAGGTATCTCTTGTTGGTCTCTAGAAATAATGGCAGAAATAATGGCAAAAAAATAATGGCAATGAGTGCTAACTCTCCACCAGGCTACTTCATGTTCCTTATTTATCCCCTACAGCATCCCTATGAGGTGTGTATAATTATTAAAATTTTACAGATAAGGACATTGAAATTCACAGAGGTTAAATAACATCCTTGCTCAAAATTGTACTGTTACTAAGGAACAGAGTCTATACATGAGCCCAAGTTTCACCCCAAAATTCATGCCCTTAGTTGACTGACACATAAAAGTCTTCCAAGATTAGAAAAGATCGGGGCAAATTCTCAGTTTAAAACCACACTTCAATTTAACAATCACACCATGCTAGGACATGTGAGGGATTAGAAATACACAGGCTCTGTCCTAAAGTAACAATTTAGTAAAAAATATTAAAGCAAAGATCTATAACATAGAACTTAACTGGAAGAGTAGAAAAGAGAACCAAGAACCACATGGGAGTCCTAAAACATAAAATGAAGTCTACTCTTCTTGGAAGCCACATAAACTAAAGTTATTAGTAAGCAGGTCAACTCTTTCTTCATATTCAGGTTCAAACGTTCACCTTGCATACTTAGCAAATTTCCCCTTTGGTGCTGAGGAAACCAAAATGGAAAGGGAATAATGAAAACCGATCCAAGTAAACTTAATGGGAGATGGGATATCTGGGCCTATTGAGAGAATTTGGGTCATTAATTAGAATCACAACTATAGGGGCGCCTGGGTGGCTCAGTTGGTTAAGCCTCTGCCTTCGGCTCAGGTCATGATCCCAGGGTCCTGGGATTGAGCCCTGCATTGGGCTCCCTGCTCAGTGGGGAACCTGCTTCTCCCTCTCCCTCTATTTACTGCTCTGCCTACTTGTGCTCCCTCTGTCAAATAAATAAAACTTAAAAAAAAAATAGAATGACAACTATATCACATAGACTGCTTGGCAGTCAGGTTCTTATACCATGCACCTGTTCTCAGAGTCTTAAAAAAAAAAAACCAAAGAACTTTATTTTACTTTATTGGTGGTTTGGCCTTGGTACTTTCTTGGTAAAGATTAAAGCTTAATAAAGTTTAATAAAGAGAAGAATGGGGCACCTGGCTGGCTCACAGTTGGTAGAGCAGAAGACTCTTGATCTTGGGTGTGAGTTTAGCCTTGCATTGGGGAGGTAGATTGTACTTAAAAAAAAAAAAACTTTAAAAAATTAATTAACATAAAGAAATAAATTATTAAGTGCCTGTTAAAAGCAGTCACTATGTTGAATCAATTAAAAAATACTCAAATTCTCTAAGTTTAATACAAATGTCAACACTTCTTTACAGTTCCTAGCAACTAAATTTCATAAATATAATATTTAAAGTCCTTTTGGTACATTTACTCCCTTTGATGAAGGCAACAAACTGCTAATTTCATTCATTTTTGCAGCAATTATCAAGATTGCATTTGTAAATTTCAGTAGTGTTTTAATCTGTGACTGTATGGAACCCTGTATTAAGTGGTTAAAAAAAAGTACCCCTTTCAAAGACCATTCATGAATGAATGAAGAATAACTTCAACTGAGTCCTGATTATTCACATAAATATGATTTTTGTTTTATGACAAATTTAGTACAGATGTTTATAATAATGGAAGATACCCTAGGCTTGAAATAAAAAAATTCACGTCTCTGAGACTTGCATCTTAGGCACATTTACTTCAGCTTTCTGAGCCTGTTTTCTCAACTATTTAAATGGAGATAGTAAGACCTGTGTCAGGACTATGAAAGTAACATGAGAACACAAACGGATGTGCCAGACATACCTCAGATTTCTGGAGATTGTCAAACCAGAGACAGTATCTCTGACGCAAATCAGATATCCAAGGCTCAAACTGTGACTCTGTGGAGCAGGGGATTCAAAAAGAATACAGGTAATTTTTGTTTGTTTTTATGATAAACACTGATTACAGAAACTTGAGTCAACTAGAGATAAAGGAGAAGCAGTAGCAGCAACAGGAGTGGTGGGGAGAAAGGACCCTGAGTAAGGAAGGTTAGAGAAGCCTTTTGTGAGTCTGGTCTAAGCTGAATACCCAGAAATGGAAAAGAATGCCCAAGGAGATTCTGTTATGTGGGCACCAGGGAAATTCTGAAGAATGACCCTACTAACGGCAATATGGCCTGAGCAGACCAAATGGTACTTCTTTGGTGAACAGAGGACGAGAGAACCTCATAACTGATTTGAAGGTCTGCATAAGGAATTATTTGGGTCTAGAATTAAAAACAAGGCGGGCGCCTGGGTGGCTCAGATGGTTACACGTCTGCCTTCGGCTCAGGTCACAATCCCAGGGTCCTGGGATCGAGTCCCGCATTGGGCTCCCTGCTCCTTGGGAGCCTGCTTCTCCCTCTGCCTCTCTCTCTCTGTCTCTCATGAATAAATAAATAAAATAAAAAGTTTTTAAAAAAGAAAAACAAGGCAATGAAAAGAAATGGAACAGGGTTATAGGAGTAAACCAATTGGTAAAGTGAAACCTACATAATGTCTAACTGAGTCTAATTTTATTAAACAGAACAGAAACCATGGTAATCTAACAAATGAGGAGCACCAACCTACTAGAAAAATGAATACTATTGGTTAAAGCTGATAATAAACCAAGGGCAAAAAAATGACATTTTTCTGACCATGTCCAGAAAAGGATAAGAGATAATGCTTGAAACAAGTGGTTGATGCAGAAAAAATCACTAAATTGAAAAGGTAAAATGAACACTATAAGGAAAATTTAGGATTAAGTTGGGTGTAGTTTGCAAAGAAAACCTAGCTCTCTAAAACTTAAAGTTCTCCAGGCCTAGAAAAAATTATACTTAAGTAAAACTTGCAAGTACAGATTGCATCAAGAGTCAGCAGGTCTGTTTAATAATAATTTGGGGCCATTTATGTAAAATTTTTGTTTAGATGGCTAAAAATACCATTCATTTTCACAGGTCTTGCAATATCCATGGCTCCCTCAACTCCAGAGATTGCAGAAGTATTTAGCTTCCAAAACTTCATGTGACAACTGAACAGCAAAACATTATTGGTAATTGGATTGAGATGTCTGAGATCATTTGTTTCTCTACACTGTCAGTCACAATTTTTTTGGTTATTCTTTTTTGAAGCAACACACTTGTAGGAAAAGAAATTAAGCACTTAAAGAATATACAAAGATTAATTTCTTCCAAAAGTCTATCTTAAGCTCACTCAGAAAAGAATAAGATCAGTTAACATAAATGTAAACAAGAATGGTGCATTAAGAGTAGTTTTCCACTGGGGCGCCTGGGTGGCTCAGTCGTGAAGCAGCTGCCTTTGGCTCAAGTCATGATCCCAGAGTCTTGGGATCGAGCCCCACATCGAGCCCCACATCGAGCCCCACATCGAGCCCCATATGGGGCTCCTTGCTCAGCAGGAAGCCTGCTTCTCCCACTCCCACTCCCCCTGCTTGTGTTCCCTCTCATTGTATCTCTGTCAAATAAATAAAAATCTTTATAAAAATTTTTCCACTAAGCGAGATAAGTCAGTCAGACAAAGACAAATACCACTATGATTTCATTCATATGTGGAATTTAAGAAACAAGGAAAGGGGGGAAAAGATAAATCAAGAAACAATACTCTTAATTATAGCGAACAAACTGATGGCTACCAGAGAGGAGGGAGTGAGGGGATGGGTTAAACGGGTAATAGGGATTAAGGAGTGCACTTGCTAAGATGAGTACAGGGTGATGTATTAAACTGTTGAATCACTATACTGCAGACCTGAAGCTAATATAACACTGTATGTTAATTAACGAATTAAAATAAAAACTTAAAAAGCCAAAAATATTTTCTACTAAAAACAGTATTTTAAGTAAATGACTAAAATCAAGAAATGGTGCTTCAATTACCTTCAAGAACTGCACTGGCTGAATAGGAAAAATTATGTTCATGAGCATGCAGTTAGGCTTATTTACCCTTTTCCAAGAAAAAAATGTCTTAGAAATTTGGTGGCTTTTTTTTTTTTTTTTTGAAGCTTCAGGAAAATGCTTACTGTGACAATTGGATAACTTTAATGAATTCCCAACCTTTTATTTGCCTAGACAACACAGAACTTTATTTTTATTTTTTGGTGAAAAGAAGAAATACAGCAGAGTGACAGACTTTATTTTTCCTTTGAGCACATAGAAGAAGACTAAAGTACTTAACGATCCTTGTTTAGTTTGACAGAGCAATTCTACAAGTACTTACACTGGTTAGGAACATAAAATGTCAAGTACAACATTATTATTAGGGCAAGAAATATCAAGACAATAGAGTTATGTTTTTCTTTTTGAGATTACTTTCACAAGACATAGCAACAGTTTGCAAAATTTCAAAGATCACATTCAAATTATATTTCTTAGAACTATATATACAGACAGACCAGAACAAGCTGATATATTAATGAATATTCACAGGTTTCATACTGCACAGGAACAAGTTTGATATTTTTGCACACATTCTCAATTACAAGCAAAAAGCAGGCCTGTAAATGTCAATTTTGCCAGCAAGTAAAAATAGAGAAAGGAATTAATAGGATTTTACTCAAATACAGTGAAATAAGGAGTATATACCATTAATCTTCCACATAGAAAAGAACACTCCTATAGTAATAGAGAGAAAACATCCAGACTTGCATTTTTCTGTATAAAAAATCTACTGGTGAATTCAAGGGAAAACTACTCCAAGCATCCTCTTTAAACATCAACCACTTTGATTCTCCCACCTCTCCTGGGAAAAACTTCAGGGACCTCTCCCCACCATCCCCAACCCTGCAGGGTTCCAGTCTTCCCTGTGCCTTTCCAAGACTACTCCACAGCAGGTTCATTTGTTTCTGGGCTTTCAGGTTCCTCAGGCCACAGCACCCTCCCCACTTGCTGTGCCCAGACCTCCCAAACACACTTAGAGCTTAGAGCAAGGCCTTCAAAAGAAAGGAGAAAGGCAGACAGTCATTACTAGCACTATATACCACCCAAGTAAGACAGCCCTGACGGCACTGCTGTCCCACCTACCGGAACCTGTCCTGGAAATCCAGACACCACACATCCCCGTACCGCCCTAGGAGGGAAGCCTGGCATCTCCCACAGTGTAGACTGCAGCCTGCTCCCTGTTTTTGGGAGACAAGCAGGGAAGGAAATGCGGAAGCTGAGGAGGGAGAGCCAGGAAGGCCAGGCCATAGGATGGAGGCCCCGGGGACATCAAAGCAGTAATAGAGGACAGAGGTGACCCTCAAAATGCTGCCCTGGGGTTATTTCTAAGTGATCCAAGGCCACCCCCCCCCAAATTTCCAGGTTTAAAAAAGAGTGAAACTAAGTTTTGGTTGCTTTAGACCACACCCTGCTCTGGGTCTGCCTTAAATCCATCACTGTGAGGCCCCCTGTCTTTCCCCTCTGCTGCTCAAACTAAAGAAACACACCAGGTTTTGGAAAAAGGGTGGGGTCGTCAAAGTTGGCCCAAAAGAACACTGCTCATAACTAAACAACCTACAGGTCTCCCTTTGAAACTTTCAGACCCTACTAAAAAGGAAGTAGGGGGGAGGCATGAGGGCAGAAGAGCACAGTAAGAGATCTGGAGTCTATTGTACAGTACCTTTCTCCCTCTGGACACAAGGTGAGAGCAAATTAAACAAAAAGCCTGCTTTTGCCAGTTCAGTTTTCTGTTTCCGAGCTGTAACTGTTTGAGAGAGGGAGGAAGGGAGGGAGAGGGAAGCAGAGAGAACAAGGTGGTGGTGGCGGCGGGGAAGGGGGGGGTGAGAGAAAGAGACAGATACAGAACAGGCCCCACAGACCAGAAACACCTCTCCCTCAGTGCCGCCACCCTAGCAACTTTATCCTGTCATTCTGAGAATGAGTGCAAGAGTTAGGAGGGGGATACCTAACAAAGTTGCCCAGATTAAGGGTGTTTTTGGCTACAGCTCAGAAAGCCTAACTGCTGGAAGTGAACCATTACCAGCCTTGTATAGTCATACACTATCATGTATGACTGCCCAACCTGCCCAACAGCCAATTGGGTTTATAGGTAACTATTTGATGGGGTAGGGAGTTTGAGGGGAAGTTCCCCATGTGCTGCCTGGGATCTTAAGTCCACAGATAGTTGCTGAGGAAGCAGGCAGTGGTGCCTATGTGAAGCTTACCCAAAAGGCCGAGAGCAGGTTTGGGTGGGCCATAGCACAGACCTTCATACTCACCAGTACCTGTTCACAAAGCAGAGTGCCCAAAGGCAAAAGAAGACCAATGCAGTAACACTGAACACCTCTCATCTGTTACCTCATTCATGCCTAGCAGCCCCCACCAGCCACCTTATTCTGCCAGATAACCAGCTGGGTGGATGGCACAGGCCAGGAAGGCAGCTAGGAACCAGTCAGTGGTAGCCAGAATGTCCAGTTTGGGTTGACGGCTGGCATCATCTAGATCAGCTTCATCTTGCAGCAGTGAAATTCAAAGAACTTGACATACAGTACATGGGTATCAGGAGGACAGTCAGCATTAAGTATGAAGCCCAGCTAGTTATTTGCAAAGGTATTTCAAGCTTCTTTGTGGTAGATAACCACTTAAAAATCTGGGAGAAGACCATGGTCACAGACCGGGCCCAAGGCATGCAAAGGAAGGCAGTGCCTATCTATCTACAGCATCATGTGCTTGGCATAGAAGCAGTGCAAGGCCATGCACTTGGAACATGTAAGAGGATACAGAAGAGCATGAAGGTCCAGAGGAAGAACAACACAAGCGTATAAGAGTCAACCTTGCAACTGATTGTTGAAGATTTAGAAGAACCAAAGAATAAAATACTCCAGTGTGAAGAGAAAGCAGATAGAAGACTGCATGCTGTTGGCTAAGCATAGGTTCAAGGGGAGGTGGTGAGGAGACTTGTGCAGGAGCTTCTCACAAGGTCATCAGTTAGCCAGACTGGAACCTGAAGGACCTGGGGCTCTCCACTGGCTGCCTTGCTGGGTCTCGAATTCCACGGCGAGGCCCTTCACCCATCAGGTAGTATTGTAGGGGATTGGGCCACAGTTCTGCTTTGATAATCTCCGCAATCCTGTCGAATTCTAGAAGGCTGTGGTCTGAGAACCAGTTAAAGAAACTGGGGATAGTGTTTCCTTCCCGGTTCCTGTGGATATGGGACTGGGGGTCTTGGCCCCTGTGCCAGCGGATTGGAGTGGAAAGAGACACCACCCTGCCAGAGGATCTGCGCTCATATTCTTTGACGAGCCCCTCATTTCGGAAGTAGGGGTTGCTCTGAAAGATGAACTTGAATTTGCAGCCTGCTCTGGGGTGTTTGAGCTCCTCCACCTCCAAATTGATCATGTACCTCATCATGTCTTCATCTTGACCACTGATCATAGGTGACAGCTGGGGGTGGTTCCGAAACGCAGTGACCCAGAAACCTGGGATATTTTGGATAATGAAACTTCTGCGCTGCATATGAAGCCTTCGCATGCGGCCAAACTTGCGCTCCAGCTGAAGGAAGGCCCTGTCAGCCTGGGCATTTACATTTGACAGCTCCTGATCGATGGCCTCCAGCGAATCCATGCAGTTATTGATCTTCGGGGCCTTGCCCCGTGTCTCCTCTTTCATTCCTCCTACCACCTTTTTTTCCTTCTGCATCACCTTCTTTTCCTCCACCGAGACCTCCTCTGCTCCTCCCTCCTTTTCCGCAGCCGCTGAAACGGCGCACTTTTTTGTCATTTCCTTGGCCTTCGCCCCAGGCGTCATCTGAGACGCCAACCCCCCTGCGCCACAGGCTTCTAGAGCTTTCTCCCCAGCAAGACCCTGCGGCTCTCTACGCTGACAGCCATTTTCCTGGCTATTGTCGGTCGCCACCGCAGCGGAGGCTGAGGCAGGGGCTGCTGCCAAACCTTCCGTGGGAAGCAGAACCTCTTTCTGGCCCGTTCTGGTCGCTACACGGCCGCGACTCCCAAAAACTCGAACGCGGAGCACCGGCGCACAACTAGCGGGGTTCTGGGGTGCGCCTCCCTCCGCGGCGGTCTCCAAGCCGCCCTCACCTGTGTCCGCCATCACCGGCGTCGCCTCGGTTTCCTCGCCCTGGCACTGGTTTAGGTCCGGATGTCCCGGGGCATGGTCTCCAGTAGCTAGGCCGCAGTCTTTAGCGTCAGAAAGATTGTTGCCCTCATCCAGGCCGCTCATTTTGGTAGAAGGCAAACCTGCAGGAGGAGAGCGTCCCTTGTGCTCCGCAGAAGCCGCGCTCCGCCCCAATCCGCCGCTCTTTTCCACTCGGGAGGGATGCTGCTATGGCAACCGGTGACATCACGGCAGCGGCGTCGTCACATCGCGCGAGAATTCGCTGAGCCTTGTGATTACGACAGTCAAGGGTATGCCTTTGTCTTTGTGTGGTGCTGTGTAAGATGTGATGGTCTGGAGTAGATTTGTAAAAGATTTGGTTTACATGACTGGGTGCAGACCAAATTCAAATATGTGAGAATTGTGTTAATGTGCATTTCTAAGGCTCTGAATGAATTTCTAAGTCACCTACACTGTTAATTTTCTCTTAAAATACTTAAAAGATAAGAAAGGTTAAGTAATTGTTCGAGTCCGTCCGCTCATAGGGCCTTTCGTGGATGTTAAGGTGGACTCAGCAATTCACATGCCTGCTTTTTTTAGTGTACAGATTCATGACTATTACCAAAGAATTGAGATGAGCAGAGTTTCATCTTAAGTGTCGATTTAAAAACTTAGAAGCTGTGGAAAGGGAGGCTTCTCTCATCCTAACAAAACATAATGAAGAATTATTTCATGTATTTATGTATGTTGGCCAACACCTGTGAAGCTGTTGGACAATATTACCTCTTCACTTTTAACTAATATAAGTAGCAAATGTATTTTCCTTACTTAGAGTTGACCCACACCCGTGAGCACGCAAATTTAGCCTTTAAGCATTACTGAAAAAGACATGATCTCAGATTTTAATTTCCAAAATTGTACATATATGTTGCTTATTCTCAGGTTATAATCCTAATCTAAAAGGAGTTCTTGCTTTATAATGCCTGTGGGCATGAAGCCAGCAAATATTTGCCAAAATTTGTCCCTATGATAATTTACTGCAGGATGGAAGCAATAATCAACTGTTTGGGGCACTGAAACTATTAATTGTCCAAATTAAAATAGTTTAACATTTAAAATGTTAATGTTAAAATATTTACTTAAAATTTCTCTTTTCAAGTCGGCTCATACAATTCATCTAACAGTAATGTCAGTACTGTTCTATGTGTTGTTTTGTTTGCTGGAGTATGGAAAAACTGGTGTTAATACTTAGACAAATACAAGAATGAAGGAAAACTTAAATTTTGCATATTTTTAACATCTTAAATTCATATTAGAAAAATGTTTATGATTATAACTCTTTGTAATAGAAACTACACTACAGAGCACCCCAGATTATGATCACTTTTAAATTAGGACTCAGAAGAGGATCCAGTGAAAAGTAAGGATGTAGGGGAAACAGATTTACAAAAAAGTAGCTGATATATTGAGGGAAGTAGTGCAGACCCTGTGCAACTAAGAATGAGGTGCTGATAAAAAGACACTGGCAGATATTACAGAGAAACAGCCTCTCATGCAGCTTCATAGTTTAGCTCACAAAGATTTACTAGAGAATTTATAAGCAATTAAGATATTTTTGTACCCCTAATCAGCCTATTCAAGGACAGTCCAGATTGACTGCTGCAGCTAATCAGGTAACCCATAAAAATTGTGCAAACAAGATTCACTCTTCTCAGACTACAATTACTTTTCTCTCCTTTTTTCCTCTTTTAAAAAACCTATTTTGCCTCTGTGGGGTGAAATCAATCTACTGATTTATCCTCTTTTTAAGTAAGTAAACAATGTGCTATAATTAAGTGACTTTATGACTTTGGGTTATTTTTTGACACTACTCTGCCTTGTCTCCTTTCTTAAGAAATCTTTGCGGTGTGGAAGGATTAATTCTCTAGGATTATAACCTGAGCCAAGAAGCAGAGAAGCAGCAAATGTTGAATGAAAGTTCCTTTGCCATACAAGAAAGAAAGAATTTGCTATTTGCAACAGAAAATTAGAAAATTATGTAAGACTGCTACTACCTGTGCACCTTTTTTCTCATTGCATATACCAAACTTTTTTAAAGATTTTTATCTCTACTACTTGAAATATACCCATCCCTAACTTCAATTATTCCTGTCAACGGAATCATTTTCCACTAATAATAACCTGCCCATTCTTGAAACTCCATTCAAGCCTACCTCATGTAGATTGCCTTAGGCATTTTAATGCATTTAATTTCATAAACAAGGACCCAGGAATCACAGAGTAGTTAACTCACTCATGGTAAGATATTAATTGCCAAACTGTCTCTTCCCATCTCCTATGCATAACCTTTCCTTATCACCTTACCATTCTGATAGTCCTCTGAATTTCTATAGCTCTTATGACCTTCACCATGCAAATTAGAATTTACCTTCTATCTTTAACTTTCTTGGTGGTTTTATGCAGATCGGTCTCCTCATCCCGGCTAGACAAGGATGGCTGCATAGTGGCTTCTTCCTTGGCATCTACGATAGTATAACCTAGTGACTATCTCGTTGAAGATTGCAATGAATTTGATTATTTGATTTAAATGAAAAATTTAAAAGGTTTTACCAAAATGAATAATATGACTGTGCTAGCATTTTATTTTGAGTTGAGTGGATATATATTATAGGTATGAATCATTTTATCTGCATATTAGAATATTGGATTTTGGGTACACAACAAAGCCTGTTCTGTAGGCAATTGGCAATAAGCCTCACTACAGAGAAAAAGATATATCAGTAACATGACCATATGGAAAAATATTTGCAGGAAATGCCATGAAAATCCAGGAGGTAATTTTCATTTGCCATAGGACTAGGACTTTAACAAAAGTTCAAACATAATACAGTCAAATAGGAATGACTTTACTAAACTGTATAGTAAATACTGGAAAATTTATGAAATATCCACTGTTGTTTATCTTTTCAAAATGATAGGGTTTCTGGTTATATATTCATTATAGCCTACATTTATTTAGTGTCTTCTAAAGGTGTTATCTCATTTAATCCTCAGAACAACCCCGAGAGGTAACAATATTATGACCTCCATTTTACATTACCTCAGAAGGAACTCAAGCAAAGAGGAACTGAGTGGTTTATCCAGTCACACAGCAGTGATAGAGCCATAATCTGAACCCAGGTAATCTGACTCAAGAACCTGCACACTCACTCCTTATATTGTCTGCAATTCTACACAACATATAAAATGCAAAGGCGCTTTCTTAGAAATAAGACCATATGATCATCCCAATTTAATGTTAAATCTTATCATCCTATTCCCCTCTGCCCAATCCGGAAAGATACTAATTGTTGTTGGGGAAGTGCCCAATCACTAAAAGGAGAAACAAGAATTCATGATCCTGGATTCAATGCCATTAAGTCAACAGTTCTCAATCCATCAGATGTTAACATTCCCTTTGTTCATGTTATTTCTTTATTGGTATTGTGTAGACCCAGTCTTATTGGATGAGGGCAAAAGACATGGGCTGCATTTCCATCTCTGCCTTCATGAGCAATGGGAATTTGGGCAAGTGGTTTAACTTTTTTAATCTCAATTTCCACATTTTATAAAATGGGAATCATTAGGGGCACCTGGCTGGCTTAGTCAGTGGAGCATGAGACTTTTGATCTTGGGGTTGTGAGTTCACGCCCTAAGTTGTGTATAGCCTACTTTAAAAAAAAAATGGGAATAGCAAGGTCACTCAACCTGTCTTTATCCACTGCTCAGAGTAATGGGTCAATATTGTAATGTAGGTGAACCTTCCTTGTAAGTCGCTTCCCTGGTGTTGCTTTCCTCCTCCCTCACCCCCATCTCCATCTTTCTTTTTTTCCTTCTTTTCTTTAAAAGTTATTTCATGGACCATTACAGCCAAAAGATACTGAATTTTCAAACAATTTCCCCTGAATGACCCTTAACATATGGAAGGAGTTATGTCCCTATAACTTGAGTCACCTCTCCAGGGCTCCAAAGCCCAGAATTAAGTTGAGCAGCAACAGAAGCTTTCTATGGAAACGTTTCTCTTTCTCAGACAAGACAAAGGCATCTTCAGCAGACAGACCCTGTGTGTCCAGGGCCAGGCAAAATTGCCATTTCCAACAGAAAGCTGTCCTGCTTTTTGGGAAAACAATGGCTGAAGAACAGCTTCCTTCACATTCAAAGAAAATGCTAGTCTAATTGAATTTCTTGCAGGCAAGAATCAAGGGTGGATCTGGCTTTGGTACCAATTCAGTGTGAAGTTTGATGTGGTAGCCATGAAAATGCACCTCACAGTCTTCCAAATACAAGGAGAGTAATTGTTCAGGAACCTGAATGCTGCACCCTGCATCTATAGCCTCCTTTGCATTCTGGCCATACCTCCTATGAGCTGCTCCAGCCAATGACTGAGTATGGCTAGGAAACTAAGGCAAGACCATTCCTAAAAGATTTGGGACTCAGTTGGCAGCTGACTCTGGCTGGCTCAAGGACTCCTATTGACCTTGCTGAATTCTTCCTTGGATGGCACAAGAGACTAGAACACTTCTACCCAACTTTCTCTTGCTCTCTTTTTCATTCAGAATCAGATTTTCTTTCTGGTCAAATGCCTCTTCCATCTTCTTTCTGGCTCCCTCCCCATTTCACTCACTCACACAGTCATTTCCCCTAATAAAATCTTTGCATTTCCCCTAATAAAATCCCCTAATAAAATCTAATCCTAGCTTGATTTCTGCTTTTCAGAGGATCCAGAATAACATATTTAACAGATCGTTTAAACCTCTTAGTTCCCATTTTTACATCTTGCAAATTGGGGGCCGAGGGACAGAGAGAAGAGCTAGAAGCGAAGAAAGATTTAGTGCAATAAGAAGAAGGTCATGCCTACACTAAATGACATGATGAAGTAGTTAGATGCCTATATCTTAGAATTGCTAGTTCCTTATATATTTTGGAGATTAACCTCTTCAGATAAATGGTTTGCAAATATTTTCTCCCATTCTGTAGGTTCGTTTTCACTTGATTGTTGATAAAATAAAAAGTGTAAGTATTAGAAAGTTTTGTGTCAGAGTTTGGCAATTGTTCTCATTCTTTTTTTTTTTAAAGATTTTTTATTTATT